ATGTTGGACTTATTTTGCACCGTACGTAGCCAACCCTGATAATCGGAGGTGCGGCATCAGTTTGGCTGAGAAGACCAGGCGCTTTGTATGGATCCATTGACCTGGTAGCTTCCTCAGCGTTAAGTAGCTAAATTAAAATGCTGCTCGACTGATTCGGAGACCTCCACTGCCAAACCGTAGCTGGTCATGAGTACACTGCTCAGGTACATAAACTTCTCCACTCTCTCCTACAGCCACCCCATTACTCATGGGGAGTGGAGAGGGTTGTGCTTTGCTTTAATAGGGCTGATAGTAAGCATCTTGGTGACACCTCATGTTCAACAGCAGGTTCTCCAGAGCAGCATTTACCAAGTCATCAGCATACATAACAATGTTGACCAGTTGTGAGCCATACCTTGACTGCATCTGAGCATCGTTCAGCATCCCATTGAACCTGTAACAGATATAAATTCCACTGGTACAGCCATGGGAAGCTTCTCAATCCACGTGGTAAAAAATACATGTTAAATAGTGTAGTGCCCAGAGGGAATACCTGTCACAGCCCAAGGTGAACAGGAGATGGCTATGACTCTGGGTCACAGAGCTTTACCCGGACCTGCCCACCACCATAAAGATCCTTAATGATCAGGCAGAGAGGGTCAGGGACACCAAAAGCATGACGAATTATCCGAAGCCTGGTGGGCAGCTGCATAAAAAATCTAAATGCATTTTTTTTTAATTGACAGTGATTTACCTACAGTCGGAGCAAAGGAAATGTTGTACAGAACTTAAAGTTGGTTTATGTAGTTGACCCCTGCTCTCTAGATGGTATCGTAGGCATCGACCAAGTCAATTTAGCAGATATGTAGGTTCCTGTTGTAGAGAATGACATTCAGGACTGCTGTGGCCCGAACCCACAATGAGACCTCCGCATGCTTATCCTGAACGTATCTGGCGAGGCAATATTGCATAATCCTTGCCACGACCACTTCCTAGCACACGGAACGTGTTATATTGGTTCACATAATCATTAGAAGTCACCAGTGAGCCACAGCCAGATACCGAATGCCAAGGAAAGCCCAGAGTGTTATATCGGTCTTCGTAAATCAGAACTCATTAATGGGCCATGTCCAGATGCAGACTCTCAATGATAGCCCGGTGTTGTTATGGTTCATCATTATCATTGGGGTTCATCGCTCCAATCAGACTAAAATTGTCAGCCCCAAATGATGAACCTTGTTACTGGCAAAGAGCCACAACTCTTGGAGTTCATAATGTATGAAATAGGCTATTTTTACACGAGCAAAAAAATGCTCCAATAAAAAATAACCGTGTCAAAAATAACATATTGTACATGTTTTAGCTCCGCAAACAATGCAAAAGAGATATCCGACTCGCGAATTAAGGTTATTTTCCTGAAATGATCATTTGCGGCTTTTAACTTGCCGCGTAAACAGTGACTTTTAAATCAGAATAAAATACTTCTGTTGAAAACACAGTTTTGTGGCAGTGATGTTTATTAGCCATTTGATGCACAATGTTACCTTACCTTTGTCGGTCAGTTAAGTGCACTTTCATAAGCACAAGGCTACTCACCTTGTTTGAGACTTTAATCAACAATTACAATTGAGGCGAGCTACTTCACAGTTGTCAAAATTGCGTGCATTTTATTGGTGGCCGGGCTGAGACCATAGACTTACCACACTTGAAAACCCGGTTCAATGTGGTTAAGCCATGTTTCTTGCGGAAGTGCGGAGTTGGCCTGATAACTTGAATCTAAATCGTCTTATGGTTGTTATTGTTTGTCTTGCATTACACTGGGATTTGCTGGTTTATCCAGGATGCTTCAGATGTTCTCTGTTCATGTTTTTTGTTTGTTGCGGTTGCACCTGACTCAAGAGCCGAATGGCTCACAGGGATATGCCTAATAAATTAAACTTTAAACTAATTATAGGCGGATGACACGTGGATTTAAACCTAGCTTCTCAGCTGTGCTGGGTCAGTGTCACCGACACGGCCATTATGAACCCCCTTGAGATAGACACCCAGCGACCCACGGCTTGAACCCAGGAACTCAAGCAGTATTGGGCTCATTGTATCTCACACATCCTGCCGCCTGGCTCCCCAGGTGCTCATTTCAAGGCTGATGTCCTAGGACCGGTTAGAAATGTGCCACTGATGTTAGCCGTGGGTGAGAATGAAACCAATAGAGCCAGGTTTGTAGCGCAGTGCGATAATCACGACAACGCATGTATACACAGAGATCCCCCGTGTAACCTGAACAGACTGTTGGAGCAAGTGATGTTAGCAAGCACCTATTAAGGCCGGCACGGCACACGAGGGGGTGGGTAACAACCACGCCCGGCCGCCTTTGTCTCCCTAGTGGCGATGTTTACACACCGCGTACTCATTTTAGGCTGAGTCAACCTAGGAAGGTCCAGGACTGGTTCAAATGATCACCATGAGCAGGAATCGAACCCGGGTCGCCAGGTTCGTAGCGGACCGCGCTAACCTGCTCCACTACCGCTCTCCACCATATATGCACACACACACACGGTCATATACATACATGGATATATACTGTACTCAAATGCCACACAAATGCACATGTACAGTTTGTATAAATGGTACATACACGTGCACCATAATAAACATAAATGAGTGATACATGCAAACATACGCAAAAAAGGCTCATGCATTTCAAAATATTCACGACAAAGTACCAAACGTATATAAACATAACGGATAGTGCATACAGATGGGTGACACATATGTACACAAACACAAAGGGGATCACATACATACACCCACCTAAACAGGTCAGACCGACATAAAGGGGTCATACAAATAGACGCACATACACAAAGGTTGACGGAAACATATACACACAAATACATAAAGAGGTCACACACACACATACACACAGGAGTGACACACACGCATAAAGTGGTCATACATAAAGAGGTCTCACACATACACACAGGGGTGACACACATAAAGAGGCCACACATAAAGAGGTCACATACACACACGTACACACAATGGGGGTTGACACACATAAAAGGGTCATACATAAAGAGGTCACACATAAAGAGGTCACATACACACACGTACACACAATGGGGGTTGGCACACATAAAGAGGTCACACACACAATGGGGGTTGACACACATAAAGGGGGCATACATAAAGAGGACATACACACACACGTACACACAATGGAGGTTGACACATAAAGAGGTCATACATAAAGAGGTCACACACACAATGGGGGTTGACACACATAAAGAGGTCACACATAAAGAGGTCACACACACGTACACACAATGGGGTTGACACACATAAAGAGGTCACACATAAAGAGGTCACACAAACACGTACACACAATGGGGGTTGACACACGTAAAGAGGTCACACATAAAGAGGTCACACACACGTACACACAATGGGGTTGACACACATAAAGAGGTCACACACACGTACACACAATGGGGGTTGACACACATAAAGAGGCCACACATAAAGAGGTCACACACACACAATGGGGGTTGACACATAAAGAGGTCACATACACACACGTACACACAATGGGGGTTGACACACATAAAGGGGTCATACATAAAGAGGTCACACACACACAATGGGGGTTGACACACATAAAGGGGTCATACATAAAGAGGACATACACACACACGTACACACAATGGAGGTTGACACATAAAGAGGTCATACATAAAGAGGTCACACACACACACGTACACACAATGAATGGGGGTTGACACACATAAAGAGGTCACACATAAAGAGGTCACACACACACAATGGGGGTTGGCACACATAAAGAGGTCATACATAAAGAGGTCACACACACAATGGGGGTTGACACACATAAAGAGGTCACACACACACACGTACACACAATGAATGGGGGTTGACACACATAAAGAGGTCACACATAAAGAGGTCACACACACACACAATGGGGGTTGACACACATAAAGAGGTCACACACACACAATGGGGGTTGACACACATAAAGAGGTCACACACACACAATGAATGGGGGTTGACACACATAAAGAGGTCACACACACACACGTACACACAATGAATGGGGGTTGACACACATAAAGAGGTCACACATAAAGAGGTCACACACACACACACACAATGGGGGTTGACACACATAGAGGTCACACACACACACGTACACACAATGAATGGGGGTTGACACACATAAAGAGGTCACACATAAAGAGGTCACACACACACAATGGGGGTTGACACACATAAAGAGGTCACACACACACAATGGGGGTTGACACACATAAAGAGGTCACACACACACAATGAATGGGGGTTGACACACATAAAGAGGTCACACACACACACGTACACACAATGAATGGGGGTTGACACACATAAAGAGGTCACACATAAAGAGGTCACACACACACACACACAATGGGGGTTGACACACATAGAGGTCACACACACACACGTACACACAATGAATGGGGGTTGACACACATAAAGAGGTCACACATAAAGAGGTCACACACACACACACAATGGGGGTTGACACACATAGAGGTCACACACACACACGTACACACAATGGGGGTTGACACACGCACACACGCACGCAGTGTTCCCCACCCCTCCCCCACTGCCCCCCCACTAGTTAACGCACACCACGTGATGCCGCCCCTAACTAAACTAGCCAGGTTAGTATTATGGGATGTAGCCGTCGCCCTGGCAACCGGCTCGTGACGTCACGCCCAACTTCCCCCCCACACCCCACCCCCCACTCACTCCCCGCTTTGTTCTGGGGGGAAAGGGGGAGGGTGGGGGTGGAGGGGAGGGGCTGTTCCCCCCGCCCCGCCCCGCCCCGCCCCTCCCCTCCCCCCTCCCTTCTATTCCCCCACATTCATTCTCCATTGGAAGTGGAAGAGTTAAGACACGAAAAGGTTGCGCTCCTCACGGCATCATCATCATTAATATCGTTATTATTAATTACATTAATTATAACCGTATTATTATTCGTGTTGGGCGGAGTATACTGCGCTATGTACTGTATAGCATACAGTTTACATGTACTGTCGAGTACTGTAGTCCATTGGGTGGAGGTTACAGGATATCATGTGTGGAAATCGTTTTCTATATAGTCTGGATCATCATCACCATCATCTGAATCATCATCACCATCGTCTGAGTTCGAAGTTCTCAATTTCTCGCGAGGTTGTAATACGTAGTGGGAATGTTTGGTTCCAGAATGTATAATATATATAGGATCGTCATCATCCTCGTCAGATCATCATTGAGTCTTTAACATCACCATATATCATCCTCATCTCATTTATGAGTTGTACTGACTGTTCAGAGGTGTAGGATTCTGGTTTACGTCAACGTTTACTGGAACTTAATTTGTAATGATTAACTTGGTGGGATTTTGGTCAGTGAATTAATCAGCATCACCACCACCATCATCATCATCAACCATCATAACCACCACCAACCATTCATTACAAACTAATCACCACTACCTTCATTACCACCACAAACCATCACAAACCATCACAATCACCACAGCCATCATCGCAGTCGTCATGACGAGTAGCTAATCATTTAGGAAGAGAAGAGTGTGGTTGTGGTGGTGGTGGGGGGGGGAGAAGAGCAAGCAAGGGATGAAGAGGAGGAGGAGGAGTCACATTGATCAGGCTCTGGGCCATCTTGTTTCAGACTGAGCCTCCTCCTCATCGTGAGCGGGCGGCAGAGTGTGTGGAGAGCGCGCGAGAAGGCAGTCCGCGTCATTCTCATCCGTCGGGGATCTCGTCCCACACCCCCCCCCTCCCCGTGATATCGATCAATGGTTACTTTTGTAAAACTTACGACGATTGGTAATTAATGGTGGAACGCTTTGTTAGGAGCTGAGGAGAACTGAAGCGGAGGAAGAAGGGTGAGGGACAGTATGGACCCACTGGATGGCCTGGGAGGTGAGTGACACATTTGTGTCTTGTGTGCGGTAGTGGTTATTATGACTTTGTGTGGTGTCGAGTGCTCTATGCCTGTGTCTGTGTGGTGTGTCTAACTCTGGTGTTTGTAGTTGTATGGTGGCGTGTCTTAACTCTGGTGTGTGTAGTTGTATGGTGGTGTGTGTAGTTGTATGTGTCTAACTCTGGTGTGTGTAGTTGTATGGTGGTGTGTCTAACTCTGGTGTGTGTAGTTGTATGGTGGTGTGTCTTAACTCTGGTGTGTGTAGTTGTATGGTGGTGTGTCTAACTCTGGTGTGTGTAGTTGTATGTGTCTAACTCTGGTGTTTGTAGTTGTATGGTGGTGTGTCTAACTCTGGTGTGTGTAGTTGTATGTGTCTAACTCTGGTGTGTGTAGTTGTATGGTGGTGTGTCTAACTCTGGTGTGTGTAGTTGTATGGTGGTGTGTCTAACTCTGGTGTGTGTAGTTGTATGGTGGTGTGTCTAACTCTGGTGTGTGTAGTTGTGTGTGTCTAACTCTGGTGTGTGTAGTTGTATGTGTCTAACTGGTGTGTGTAGTTGTATGTGTCTAACTCTGGTGTGTGTAGTTGTATGTGTCTAACTCTGGTGTGTGTAGTTGTATGGTGGTGTGTGTAGTTGTATGTGTCTAACTCTGGTGTGTGTATTTGTATGTGTCTAACTCTGGTGTGTGTAGTTGTATGGTGGTGTGTCTAACTGGTGTGTCTAACTGGTGTGTGTAGTTGTATGTGTCTAACTGGTGTGTCTAACTGGTGTGTGTAGTTGTATGTGTCTAACTGGTGTGTGTAGTTGTGTCTAACTGGTGTGTGTAGTTGTATGGTGGTGTGTCTAACTGGTGTGTGTAGTTGTGTCTAACTGGTGTGTCTAACTCTGGTGTGTCTAACTGGTGTGTGTAGTTGTATGGTGGTGTGTCTAACTGGTGTGTCTAACTGGTGTGTCTAACTGGTGTGTGTAGTTGTATGGTGGTGTGTCTAACTGGTGTGTAGTTGTATGGTGGTGTGTCTAACTGGTGTGTGTAGTTGTCTAACTGGTGTGTCTAACTGGTGTGTGTGGTTGTGTGGTGGTGTGTCTAACTGGTGTGTCTAACTGGTGTGTGTAGTTGTATGGTGGTGTGTCTAACTGGTGTGTCTAACTGGTGTGTATAACTGGTGTGTGTAGTTGTATGGTGGTGTGTCTAACTGGTGTGTCTAACTGGTGTGTGTAGTTGTATGGTGGTGTGTCTAACTGGTGTGTCTAACTGGTGTGTGTAGTTGTGTGGTGGTGTGTCTAACTGGTGTGTGTAGTTGTCTAACTGGTGTCTAACTGGTGTGTGTAGTTGTGTGGTGGTGTGTCTAACTGGTGTGTCTAACTGGTGTGTCTAACTGGTGTGTGTAGTTGTATGGTGGTGTGTCTAACTGGTGTGTCTAACTGGTGTGTCTAACTGGTGTGTGTAGTTGTGTGGTGGTGTGTTATGAGTGTCGTGTGTCGTGGTTGCGCCTGTGTGCGGGTTTCAGCCACACCGCTCCGTGGGATGAGCTGGCCTTAATAGGTGCTCGCTAACAACACGTTCAATAGTGCGTGGTAACATCGCATCTAACATTCCAGTACTTGCCCATCCTCATTAATCCTGCATGGTGTAGAATGTTAAACTTTTGTGTGTCTAATGTGTATGCAGTGTGTGGCTGTGCACAAATTTTGGTTTAAACTTTTGGTAATCCCGAATTTGTAAACGTACTGTACAGTACAGCGACATTCTAGTAGAGTGGCGTGGGCCTTTGCGCTGGGTATATATCTGGATAAGCAATGTGAGTAAAATATGTTTTAACACCGGTATTAAGAACTTAAGATTATTATACTTCACGCACCAAACCCCGTTCTGGCATTGTCGAATGGCATTCGTGCACTCGTAGCGATCTTAGCCGCGTGCGTCCGAACTTTAAACCGGGTTTTAATGATCCGAACACCTATCTTCAGCGCAATACTATATCGCGTTACGCAAATACTCGGTGTTAATAATAAGAATAATGTTAATATGAATTGTGGTGTGCTTTTGACACGTTGAATGCGGTATGTGGGTTTAAAAAACCGGGCAGCCTGCCGCTTAAATAAGCAGGGTTGGGAAAAGTGTAATGTGTTTAGTGTGATGTTGACACGCGTTTTGTGTATTGTATGTAAATCGTGCCTGTACTTGCGCGAGTAATCGCTGGAAAACCTCAGCGGGGTTCCGAGTTAATTTTATTACGCGTACCCGGCGTTGGGTGGTATTTCAGGCAAACATTTCGCAAATTTAGATCAAATTTTCGCGTTTCAAGTTGTTGCTGACCCGAGACGGAGTTAAAGTAACGTTGCAATTGTGCGTTTGTATTTGACGTTTTTTTTAAAAATAATTTGAGGCGAAATTAGTCGAGGGAAAGGGCGGGAAAGGCTCCGTGCCGCGACTAGGCCCCGGCGCTAGGCGAGGGCAGGACGCGTGCGCTCCCAGGCCACACACGTGCTTGGTCTTGAAAAACAAGGTTAACATTTACGCAATCGTTAACATTGCAATTAGCTTTGTCATCAAAGTTGTGAACATCGCTAACGACGAAACCGCACAATCTCAAATCCTCTTCAACATCCCTTAGCATCAATATCGTTCGCAGCATTAACAATTGCTTTGCAAGAACGTTGATATCACGGACATCGTTCACATCTTCAACAATCGTTAACGCATAACCTATCAAATATAGAAACCTTTAGATAGTCGAACAGTTATCGTCGTGAACAGCTTCTTAAACAGTCACGGACATCTTTTAGCCTTTAAACAATTTGCCTCGGCAATGTCACAACGCTTCTTACCCTGCTTTTCACTATCCCGTCATTCTCGGCATCTGTAGATGATGGTCTTTCGCCCCTCTTCAAAATCTCCATAAGATCTGCACAGCTCCAAGCCATTACTCCCCATCTCTAATCTCCCCTCGCATCTTCGTGTTTCATCTTCCCCGTCTCCTCTTCCCCCATCTGCCTGTCCCTCTCATCCCCATTTTCCGTTCGTATCGCTCAGCGTCCTCCCCATCTCTGCCTTTCCTGATCTCCACATGTCTCTCCTAGCTCTGGATATCCCATATACAGTACTGTACAGCTCGTATGCCCGTCTCATCTCCTAGTGTTTCCTGCATATCTCAGTGTCTCCATACGTACCCGTGTTGCCCCACATCTACCTCGTCTCGTCCCTCTCTCCATCTACCGAAATATCACAATCACACCCCCTCCCTATTCACGAGACACCAAAACCTTTAAGATTCATATTCAAGATCTTCTTGCAAACCTCATCAGGCCATGGCGTGTATGGACCCTGGTGATTGAGCTTTCAGCTGTCATAGGTAGTGGCGTTGTGTTCCGATTGTGTATGGTCATTGTGTGTCTTGTGTTTGTCTTAGCATCCTGTGCCCCATATTTTGTGGCTTGTGTCTTCTGTGTATTGTCGTGTGTCTGAGTCTCATTGTGTGTGTGTCTTTTCTGTCTGGCAGTCTGTGCGCCTTGCGTTTCAACGCCTGTTGGGGGGGGGATCTCCCAAATTGCCTTCATTGTATCGCAGCCTGCGTGTCTCTAAAGTGTGCATATAACGTTTGTGTCTCAAGACGTGGGTTTTTTCTCTGCTTGTCAATTACATCTTTTAAGTATCGCGCGTTTGTGTTATTGCGTGTGCATATTACATAATGTCACGCATACACAACACGAGGTATGTCGTTTGTTTCCATGTACAGTATATTTCCATGTATTCAATGCATATTGTGTTCGTGTCGTGCATGTTTCCGTATGTTCCGTGCCATGCATGTTATCGTAGTTTAATCTCATTCCAGTGTCTGCCTCGTGTGTCCCAGTGTCGATACTGTATCCCTTGTGGGTGCTGTATTGTACATAAATTATTGTTGTGTTCTCAAAATTGTTGGCTCTGTGTTTATATATGACCTTCCTGTGTTGTATGCCTTGAGTATATTCACATCATAAGCTCATGTGGTGTGTTGTAATGTCAGTTTTTTTTTCTCTGTAGCCTGTGCGGGCTGTGATTATACACGTACATTCATATAAATATTTTTTTATCAATCCACAGATGGGTAAAGTTCTAAAGAGTGCAACTTATCTTGGTTTTTACATATTTCTGTAACACGCTTGTGTTAGTGTATTTGACGTGTTCATTGTATAGAGTACATAAACCCAGATATATACATACGGTATCTCGATTTTGTGTTTGTACACATTGCATGTTATGTCTGCGTGGTGGTTTTGTGTATATGTACATGATAAGACTGTCTGCCTCTGCTCTAGTATTACAACATAACGCTTTAATGAGACTCCATCCCCCCCACCACCCCCCACAGCATCACCCCCCCCCATCCCCCACTCTCCCTCCCTTTGTCACGCAGGGCGAGGGGCGGGAGTGTGTGGGGGGGGGCGACTCCCCCTCCCCTCGTTCACCCCTCCCCTCGTTCACCCCTCCCCTCGTTCACCCCTCCCCTCGTCCGCCCCCTCCCCGCCACCCCTCCCCTCGTCCGCCCCCTCCCCGCCACCCCACCCCGCCACCCCACCCCACCCCTTCCTCCACTTCCCCCCCCCACGCGACCCCCCCCCTCCCTCCACTCTACCCCTCCCCCACTCGCCATCTTCCCCTCCTCTCCGCCACCATCACTTCGCACGTTTCTTGGGTTTCCGCGCTTTCCAATTTCATAGCGCGTTGACGTAGCGAATACTTGCATTCCATTGGTCGAGGCACTCTGCCAATCACGTCCCACTTGGGGGGCAGGGGTGGATGTTGTGTGTGTGTGGGGGGGGGGTCTAAATCGGTGTGGGAAATGAAAATTCCGCTCCAGCGTGATGCAACTTCCGGTTGTCTCAGGTTATTATGATCTCTGAACGCCCCCCACCCCCTTGTGATTGGTTGATGCTGGTAATTTAATGCGTGCCTTTGGCTGATTGGTCCTCCCCCAACACCACGCTGTGATAATGCATTTGACAAAACGGGGGAGGGGGGGGCTGCATGGTGACGTCATCATTTCGGCGCCTTGACGTTAGGATGCGACTCGTGATTTTTGGCTATCAATTGACAATAGCGTATTGATCTAATACTCTTAACTTTCTGACCTCTGCTATGAAGAAAGCCCATTGGCTGAAAAGTGGCGGTTGTATGTTTCCTTTGAAGGCCAATGTGTTATTGACGTATGTTAATTTTATTGGTGTTTGTGCTTGTGCACAATTGCCAAATGCAGTATAACCAATTTGTTTAATACACAGTGGTGATTTGGTGGATGGCTGGCCCTTGTCGCAGTGTGGATATGGAATTTCCTCCAATGGTTCAGTGTTGCCAACAGCAATGCTTTGAGCAGAGACACTGACTTGTATTGTGTACTGCATCTTATCAATCTACTGCTAGATGAGGGCCTCCCAACATCATGCAGGTCGTGTGGACTATTTGATCATATTCACGCTGGTTAGTGTGGCTTGGTGAAGGAGTTGCAGAACAGGACCAGTTAAGACATCACTTGGCCAATGAAGGTAGCCGTTGCCCGGAATCTAACTCGTGTCGCTGGGTTACTTGTGCAATCACTATGCCACCTATCACGGTGGCGAGATGTAAACTACCTCGCCTGTTTACAGGAGGTCGTGGGTTCGATCCCGACCCTGACGCCCTAATATATGGAGTTTGTTCTCTCTTTATGTTAATGACTTGGGCACTGAACTGGATCATTCCAGGGTAAATCTTTTTGCAGATGACACGATACTGATTACTGCTGGCCGCTCTCCGGATGACATGATTGCTAAGCTCCAGGGTGATTTCAACAAACTACAACATCAGCTATTTTCTCTTAAACTAGTCCTGAATACCTCCAAAACCAAGGTGCTATACTTCTCTCCGGGACTAAAGCAGGAAGTTATTTTTCCCCAATTACATTCCTTGAATAATTATCAAATAGAGCAAGTCAAGATCTATACGTATCTTGGGGTCATCCTGGATTCAAAACTTAGTTTTGAAGATCACATTGATTATATTGGTAAAAAGACAAAAATAAAAATTGGTTTTCTGTATCGACACAAGCACTGCTTCCTCCCAATGTTCCGTTTGGAATTGTTAAAAGCTACCATACTGCCTCTACTTGACTACTGTGACATCGTGTATAAATCAGCCCCAAGTACTGTACTGAAGAAGCTTGATTCCATCTATCACTCGGCCTTAAGATTTGCATTGAACTGCCCATATAGGACTCACCACTGTGATCTCTACATTGGGTCAAACTTAACATCTCTTAATGTTCGACGGCTTGTGCACCAGATCTTATTTATTCACGATGTACTTACAAAAAATTCCGCAGACTACCTACTGGATCTCCTCTCTGTTTCAAAGAACAAATTTGACCTCAGGTCTTCGCTCATTTACCAGCTTCACATTCCCTATTGCCGTACAAAAACTGGAGGAAGGGCCTTTGCTATTGATGCCCCCAGGGTCTGGAATGCTATTGCCAATAAACTGCAACTTGAATCACTACCTATGAGATCTTCACTCAAAACTGCTCTAGAGGAGTTGTACAACCCTAGCTGCCACTGCTATTCAGTGGCCTAAAATATGGCTCTAGTTTTTGGTGTTATAATTTATTTATGTAGTTTATTGTTAAAAATTCGGTCACAGTCCCTATGACCACTGTTACATTGGATTTATGGCTTTTATTTTGGTGATTTCGAAAAGTTTTTTTTGTTTTGGCCATGTTTTTGTTTATTGTAGTACGGAGTTAGACTGATGGCCTTAATCTTAGTTGTCTTGTGGTTGTTGTTGTTATTTGACTTGCACACAGCGTTGGTGTACGGTGCTATTTCAGGAATATTTTGATATTTTTTTTCCTGGATTTTCTGTTTGCACAGTCACATAATCACTTTAAGATGTTTTCTTGTTTATGTTTTTTGTTTGTTGCGGTTGCACCCGATTCAAGAGCCGAATGGCTCACAGGGCTATACCAACATAAATGGAACTATGAACTCCTTCTGGTTGTGTAGATTTTGTAAACATGTATTTAGAGTATGTGGCTGCTATAAATTTCCACGTGATAAGCTACTTTGTTGAGCTTTTCTTTTGTGATACCCAGGGCGCTTCTGAAAAAGGGCTATATGGCTCAGTGGGCCTTACCTGGTAAAAATTACAAGTTTAGTTTTTGAGAGAATGTACAGGTGAAAAGCATAGATCTTGGAGAATAGTATAGTGCAACAATGTAATGTGGCTATTTAAATAGCGCCATGGTAATATCATTGATTGTAACATGCTGTGATTTAGGTTTCCATCAACAGTTATATTGCGGATAAGAATCTGCTTTTGTTGTATGGATTGTGTGACCAACTCGCTGTACTTCAGAACCTGTTTTAATCATGGGCAGCTCAGACCAGGAATTGAACCTGGGACATCAGTGGCTCTGGCTCAGACAGCCATTTTGGACCTTCTAAGACATTCGGCCACGTTTTTTTAAAAGTGCATTGTTAAATGGCTAAATATTAAAGTCGTTCAACCAGTAAGTGACATTAAAGTAATCATTCACACATACAATGCGTTTCAGCAATATTATACTGCACGTCTGAAATTAAGCATTGCTGCATTTGAACGAATGTGAGATAAATGGTAGTAGGTTTTTATGTATTATCAGCCATGGTTTATCCACTGCTAAATGAAGGCCTCCCCTTACACAAACACCATTTTTTGTGGTCTTGCAATTGCCATCATCACTATCATCATCTTCTAGATTGTGCTGTCTCACTCATCTGTATCAACTTATTTGCGCTGTCTTGTCTATACTTCTGACTGCTGTCTTGCCTATACTGTTTTGGCTGCGTTCTATTGCCACATTGTTTCAGGCTAAAGTAAGAATTTGTGTTTATCTTGTGTAAATGTAAAAAAAAACTTAAGAGGACCAGTGCTGCCCTGATCCCAGCCACCTGCGTTTGATTCCTGGCCACGGCTAATATGGGCCGAGTGATAATCTGAATTGGTCATGGTCCTCCTCCTGATACCAATCCCCACTGAGCAGTGTGAAATATGATCAAATAATCCCACAACCCTTACAGTGTGTGGAGGCTCTAATCCAGCAGTGTATTGACAAAAGGCTATGTACAATTGATCCACGTGCCCATGAATTCATTCTTGTATTGTGAGTGTGGTAATTAATTTGAATCGCTGACTCATCACATGCCTGGTTGCGACTAGTTTCCCGTTCAGCAAATGCCTCCTGACCTCGTTTGTGTCGTGTCTCCTTCAGACGAATTTGACGAGGATGTAGACGTCCCATCGGAAAGCGACAGCGGAAAAGTGAAGAAGAAGAAATCGTCAAAGAAATCAAAAGAGAGGCCGGTCAAGACAAAGAAGAGGAAGAAAGAGGTGAGGGATGGGAGTTGTGTGTGCTTAGAAAGTTTGCACTCCGTTAAATAATTGTCGTGTCTGACTGGGAGTCATCCCCCGTGTATGATACGGAACTTGGACGTAGTTCTCGCCACACCACCTCCTCGTGTCATTTCGGCCTTCATAGGTGCTCTCTAATAGCACTTGCCCCAACAGTCTGCAACTGAATTGTTTAATTAGTAGATTACGCAACTGATTTTCAGTTGCATTACTCGACGTATATGGAAATAGCTTGGAAGCATTTGCCACGTTTGCCACTGGATGGGAAGTGATGGTCGAGGATTTGTAACGTCCATAATCAGGTGCGTCTCGCTGGTAGACGTGGATTGGAGGTGTCTCAACTTTAGGACGCAGTATATGAGTGTGGGCACTGTTTTTAAAGGGTCTAATGTTATTTACAAGTATCACACGTGTGTCTATAGAAATTAATTGATACCATGCCTAAAATCTGGTCATTGCTGTGCTTGTGTGCATTGGAATTGTATTGGTTCTTTATATGGTGAAGTTCGTTGACATGCAAGGCATGATGTGAGGACCGATCCAATGGTCAGTTGTCAGTTCTGCTTATATTGTGGAATACGATTAGTTACATGACTACGAGTAACATAAAATTCGATTGGTACTTTGCTAAAAAAACTTGGGAGTCGTGTTGCACTGATGTGTGTGCAATAATGATTTGTTAGTGATGTGCTTAAGCGACTTATGTAATGATATTGGTGCAGTGGGTACATTAACTTTAGTTTCATTTCTGGTCCATAGCTTAAGATATAGCTCTTCTCCAGGCACATAATTTCCCGCCCTTGTCATGGGCTGCCACATACTAGTTTAAAGCTACCTCAGTGGGAAAATACTTAAAATTAGCTTGTCAGCAATGTTGCCTTCATGCTGCGGTGATGTCACTCCAGTGATGCATTAAACAAGGGGAGTGTTTGTGCATGTGGTATGGTTGTATTTTGCAGTGTGTGTTTGTGTGTGCCTGTGTTTGTGAGGGGAATGGAAGTGCAGTGGCTGGTACACTGCACTACAAACCTGGTGATCCGAGTTAAATTCTCATTCATAGCCAGCATTACTGATGAATATCTGAACTGGTCCTAGGCCTCTCCGAGTTTGACGCAGCCTTAAATGTGTACCTGGTGTGGTGTGTAAATATCAGCACCGGGGAGACCAAGGTGACTGGCGTGCTGGCCATACCCACCCACTCGTGCGCTGTGGCAGCCTTCATAGGTGCTCGCTGACAGCACTTGTCCCAACAGTCTGTGCCAGCCTTCATAGTCTGTGTGGGATTAGGTATGAGCAAGCGTGTGGTAGAAAAGGCTCACGAGGGGTTGCATGTTTGTGCTTGCGATGACACGTACAGGAGAGCGAGAGCGAGCTGACTGACGCAGAGGACGAGAACAAGACGGAGAGCGAGGGCAGCGACTACGCGCCCAGCAAAAAGAAAAAGAAGAAAGCCAAGGAGAAGAAGGAGAAGAAGAACAGCAAGCGGCGTAAGGAGGAGGCGGCGGCGTTAGCGGCGGCTGCAGCAGAGGAAGAGGATGACGACGATGACGACGACGCACCACAGGTTGGCGAATTGCTCGGTCGATCTCCCGGCCAGTGAATCTGTTCAACTATCGTTTGGTCGGTCACTTACTCACTCGGTTGACCATTTCGGTCGATTGATAGATCATTCGGTTATTGTCAGTTTATTTTGGTCGATGTCTCGGTAGACTATGGCTGGATCACCAAGTTTATTGTGTACTCCACCATCGGTCCGTGTCTGTTTACTTGGCACACCATCTTCTTGCGTGCTGTGCTGACCATAATTGGTGTTCGCTGATGTGGCTTACCCAACATGTGACTCGTGAGATCTTGGTTTTTGTCCATTTAGATATGATACGCTTTCTGTTTGTTAATTAGAATGTTTGTCACATCCGTTTATATTTCCGTATCCTCATCGGTCTGTTCATCATTCGTCTCTTCACTAAATTCAGCAAGTAGATGAACATTTGTGTGACACTGATTTCCTCCTATCTAAAATTTTCCTGTATCCAGCATTGCCCGCATCTGACATTCAATTTGGCCACCATACACAAACAGGTTGTTATAGGCTGCTGCAGGGCTCCTTTGTTGTGGGCAGCAGAGGGCAATGCATCTAAACCCATTGTTCCACTGCACGTCTATGCCTCCATATTTTTATGCTGCCTGCATTCACGAACCAGCACTCGCTAGTGTGATCAAGTGCGATCAAATAACTCCGTGATCTGGACGGCGTTAGGGGAGGCCCTCATCTAGCAGTGGATTGACAAAAGGGCTGTTAAGATGTGTGCATTGTTTAATACTGTCTTCTGTTCGCTGTAGAAAAACGCTGCCCAGATGCTTGGGGACTGGGGCTTCTCAGACGTGGACCACGTGTACACAGAGGATGACTACCGCACGCTGACAAACTACAAGGCCTTCAGCCAGTTTGTACGGTGAGTTCAACACTCAGCCCATTAAAGGAGCCTCCTGTTTTCTTGTTAGGGAATAGAATCGTATAAAATGAAGTGCATGTGCGGAAATAGGCGAAGAGCTCACAAACGTATACACACATCAGGTGTGCATAGCCAGAACTGGAGTCAAATACAATTACAAACCTGTCATCTTTACTGAATTGCAACCACAATGTCAAAGTAATTTTGGCTAACGATGCTGCTGTATTGTAATTATAATTCACCCCAGGTGTGGCTTTGGTCACACTTAAGTAAGGGCAGTGATAAATATAAATATAAACACCTTTTTGTGGTGCCGGGGTGAATTATTCGAAGTGAGCTGGAAACACTGAGATTCTACTTTTGAGGTGTAAAAATATTTGATTAGCATAGCAATACATATCATCGGGGATGCCTTTGCGCACCGAAGCTGTCATGGGCAATGCTACTAGAGTTTCAGTCTTTTGGGATTCAATTATTTTTTTCCCCCAACAAATTTTAGTTTATATATATAAAAGGGAAATTTGTGAATGTGTGTGTTCGAAATGTTTAACATAGTTCCCGACATGCAACAAACTTGAAATTTGGCATGTGGGTAGCTTCCAGACTGTACACAATGCAAAAAGTATAAAAATAAACTTTTGTATTTTGGGGGGGGGACGACGACGCAATAATGCATATATTTTGCACAGCAAGTGAGCAGGGACGTCACATCTGTGATGTCACCCGCATGCGGCAGCATTACGCAGTGTGCCTGCTGACGTCACGTATCCCCCCCCAACCCTCCGCGTCGTCAACGCGACTATTTTCAGCTCGCTCTTAAATATAAAGCAGAAAATACATCTGTGTGAAGCAGCAAAAACTCTCCAATGCTGAGCTCTGACATCATGAAATTTGCACAGCTTATGCTGTCTGGAATTTCTAAGGGAGCGCGACTATTTTGAGCTCGCCACCTCATGCCCTCCCCGAGTTGCCTAAATCGACCTTACGTATAAGTGGGTTAAGGTTGCATTTCCTTGAGTGAAAAACATCCGATTTAGTTAAAATTGATTGTTTCTGATTTTTTTCTTTCTTGCAAGCATACATTTTTTTCAGGGGTTTAGTGAAATATAAGGGAACTAGCTTTACTACCCGGCTTCGCCCGGGACTTGGATTCCTGTCTTGGGATTAATACACGGCCTACGTGGAGGGTTGGAGGGGGGGGATGCGTGACGTCAGCAGGCACACTGCGTAACGGTGCCGCATGGGGGTGACGTCATAGATGTAATGTCAACACTCACTTGCTGTGCAAAATCTATGCATTATTGCACCCCCCCCCCCCCCCCCAAAATACAAAAGTTTATTTTTATACTTTTTGCATTGTGTACAGTTTGGAAGCTGTCCACATGCCAAATTTCAAGTTTGTTGCATTTTGGGAAGTATGCTAAACATATAGATGTGAAATTAATCCTAGACAATCCAAGTCCCGGGCGACGCCGGGTAGTAATGCGAGTAGAAAATATTTGAACGTCATGGTCATGTGACTTTTCACTGCTTCTATAGTGCCCTCTAGTGGCAGAGCAAACGAGATGGGAGAGGACATGTCTGACAATTACAGAACTGAAAAATATTTAATGCTCAAAAGTCAGAATCGGAACCTTTATTATAATGGAGGATTCGAATGAGCTATAAAGCTCTTTTTCACAGATGTCCAGCTGCATGGTGAGATGACACCGTGAGATGTTACCTCACAAAATATAATACCTCGTAGCCTTGAGCAGTAAGGCAAATTAATTTGGCACTGGTTTTTATCACAGTTTTGCCCGATTCTTGCTGTTACCCGGTTTTCACCAATTCGCCTGGTTATTTTCTCGGGCAAGTACCTAATAGCAACACGAATTTCAACTGAAGTGAAATTCATTTTGGATTAACTTTATGAGAGTTTTCACTCCGCTTTGCAGATAGACAAAGCTAATGCACAAACACTTTAAACGTTTTATTTATCAACTGATATGAACATGTCGATTGGGTATTTTCAACGTGTTGTGTAATTTTTGCCGCCTGTTGGTTCTTTATTTTCTTCTCTCCGTTTTTTTTCTGCATTTTCCTGCCTTGTATTTTGGCTCTTATAGCTCCTTCAGATTATGCGTCTTCCTGCGTATCATGGTTCTGTTTGCAAAACGAACATCGCTAATTCCATGGCTACGTTTCTCTTTCTTGCCACACCAGGCCTATGATAGCGGAAAAGAATCCCAAGATCCCGGTGTCGAAGATGATGACCGTGCTGGGAGCCAAGTGGCGTGAGTTTGGCGCCAACAGCCCCTTCAAGGGCTCCACGGTAACCGCCGCTGCGATGGCGACAGTTCCCAGGGACCCAGCTGTGCCACCCTCCATCTCCATGCCCACTGTCGCCCCGGCAACCGTCACCACGGAGACGACGCCAGTCACAAGCGCCACCATCTCCACTGAGGAAGCAGTAGTGTCAGCAGCAGCACCCGCTGCGACACCGGCACCACCTGTGCCACTGAGGAAGGCCAAGACCAAAGAGGGAAAAGGTCAGGGCAAGGGGTGCAAGGGTGGGGGGGATAAATCACAGTTGCTGTGCACAGGCCCATAGAGGCAGAAACAATCCGTCTGGTCTTCGGCTTGTGTGGAGGAATTGAGGAGCAAGGTCTCCATGGTGTTAAGTGATGGAAGAGTGATAAGGAGGTGAATGAACGCTGATGAGCGAGCAAATGGAGTGAATCAGTGATGCTGGATGTATGGCGGTGGGGGGGGTCGGAGGGATTGGCAGCATTGCCAACTCAACGATTTTGTTGCTAGATCTTTCGTGGCCTTTTAGTTTTCAAAGCGATGAGCAACAGTCTCTCGACTTTCTGGGAAAAAAGTACATTGTGTAGACTTACGAAAGATTCCAGGTGTGTGTATTCAGGCTCCGGTGTGGTTACTGTCTGAAATATTGGGACATTTTTTGTGATATTTTTCACAACTTTAGGTCTACTTCGTGACTTTTTGAGATTCGTTTGGCAACTTCCCGCTTTAAAGAGATGGGGAGAAGTTAGTTTGATCGTCTTGCCTACGTCAAAGCTCGCCACTCAGGTGGCTAAAATGACCTATAAAGTATAGTTTTGAGACGGAGGCTAAATATGGCATCTTTGTTCGTGTGTGTGCATGCGTGTTTGTGTCAGTGGAGTTGCGTGTACACTTGTCCACATGCGTGTGTTACCGCGCGTGGGCTGGCCTCCATAGGTGCTCGCTAACAGCACTTGCTTCAGCAGTCTGAAGGCTATATGGGGGATTTTTGTCTTTGTCCATGCAAGTGTGTTTACATGCACATAGAGTTTGGCAACCCATGTTCAATTCCCACTTGCGACCAACTTTTGTGACAAATATTTAAACCAGTTCTGGGCCTCCTTATTCGTCTTGGTCTCAAAAGTACCCTATTGCGTTGTCTAAACATTAACATTGGAGAGACAAAGGTGGCCAGGCACGGTGTTGCCCACCCACCCCGCCCCCCTTGCGTCCTGTGTAGACCTGAATAGGTGCTTGCAAACAGCACTTGCTCCAAAAATGTGTTAAACTCTATAAGGGGGATCTTTGTGTGTACGTATATAAGTGTGCGCGTGCTTTTTTGCGTATCTGTGTGTTCTCGAATTCTGGCGGCCTGTGTACAGATTATACTGACTATTATATGTAGGGTATGTAGGCGTATATGCCTACAAAATACATTTCTTTTTTTTGGGGGGGGGGGGGGCGGGTCCGAACATTTTTGTAAACGTGTGGGATCAACTTTTTTTACCCCCGCATCGGGGGGGTGGGGGGGGGAGGGGAGGGCCCACTTTCTTTAACTTTTTGATTCAAGCCTTCTGAAAGGCTTTCAATATAGTTTGACGGACAAACGGAACGCCGCGATTCTATGATGGGTAGGACATGTGTTCACGTATGCGTTGGTGCATTGTATGCCTGTTGTGTGCGTGCACACTCAAGTAATGCGCGGCGCTTGTGCGTTTTGTTGCCCACAGGCCCCAATGCGCGCCGGCGAACTAAGAGCCCACGTGTGGGCGAAGGAGCCAAAAAGAAGGTCGTGACGCCGGCCACCAAGGCCAGCAAAAAGCTGGCGCCACTCAAAATCAAACTGGGTGCCTTCACCAGCAAGCGCAAGAAGGGCTCCTCAGTGAGTAAACGTGGTCCATACTCGATCGCTCACTCGTCTACCAGTCACCGTGCCGATCTGCTTGTCCACTCGTGCAAAGCCCACCCACCCTATTGGTCTGTGCACTCATCGGCTTGTCCACTCACTCGCCCACTGCGTGTCCATTCGTAATTGTTTTTTCGTCCTGCTACTTGTCCACCCGCTCATCTTCTTGTCCACTTACTCGCCTGCTCGCCCAACCACCATCCACGCATATCTGTTGTGTGCTCAATCGCTCGCTTTTCATCATTGTCATCAGTGGGTTGTCTGTCCATTGCTGGATGAAGAGCCACTCCGATCTATTTGTCACAGTTTGATAAGCGTGTGTGTGTGTGTGCTTTGCGTTTTCTTGCGCATGCGTTGAAGAGCGAGGAGGACGACATTGAGGAGGAGGAGTTTGAAGACTTTGACGAGTCGAGCATCAACAGCTCTTCGGTGCGGTCCGACAGCTCGCAGGGGAAGATTCGCAAAGCCAAGAAGAGAGTAAAGATGGTCAAAAAGAAAAGAAAGGGTATGGGGCCCATGTGTGTGTGCATTCGTGTCTGTTCATGGTGATGGTTGCATTGGTTGTGGTTTGTGCCGAGGGGGGTGTAATTGTATGGTTGCATTGGGTGGCGATAGTTTGCATGCTTGTGTTGCTTGTTTGGATGTCTTGTCGTGGTTGTGTTGATGTGGTTCTTAGTAGTGCGCGTGTTTACATGGTTGTGTTTGTGGCACGTGGCTTGTTGGTGGAAGTTTTGTCCGTCGTCGTGGTTGAGTTGTAGAATTTTGCAGGGTCACACTATTTAAATTGTGGTCTCTAAAAGTATCCGGGCAAATCCCAGTGGCTTTTGATTAACATGCCAAGCCGCCGCCCTGCTGATCAGGCTCAGATTATTTGGAACCTGTCCAGGATTTATCTTGCTTAAACAAATGCTTTTGGGAAACACTGGTCCAGAAGGGAAATTTATGAACAGATTAGAATAAAAAATAAATTTGGTGATTTAACAGGCCCTACTTTTACAGATGTGCTTGTCGTCGTGGTTCTTGATTTATTATTGATGTCATCATTTGTAATTTTCCTCTTGTATATGTTTGCCCCCCCCCCCCTCCACGTCGTGCTGCAGTGGGGGATGATGAAGACGGCTATGAGACGGACCACCAGGACTACTGCGAGGTGTGCCAGCAGGGTGGCGAGATCATCCTGTGCGACACGTGCCCGCGCGCGTACCACCTCGTGTGCCTCGACCCCGAGCTGGAGAAGGCGCCCGAGGGCACTTGGAGCTGCCCGCACTGCGTAACGCGCGCACTCACACGCGGCGGAGACGTGTGTACACGCACTCATGTGTGCACTCGCGTACGCGTGTACACATGCACGCGCACACGCTCATGCACGCACGGATGCACAATAATGCATATACGTACACACTTTTTTCTGTCACGGTTATTCCTGCAGCTTGTATATTCACCGTTAAATACTACGGGTGTCTTGCTGTACAGCAAACTTTAAAATAGACCCTTGACGTAATTTGAAATGAGTACCATTACCTGCTCGTGTTGTGGACCAAATTTGCCAAACTCTAAAAGTTGCACCCCAAAATACTCAATTGAGATTACACATAGAAACCCCCAACTGTGTCTGTGAAACAAAGTAGCTTCCTTCGTGATAGCCTCGTGTATAAGAATGGCGTGAATATCACGTAATAAGTTTATTCTCACATTGTCATCCCTGTCAGCATTATTTCCCTGGTTACTTGTTGCTGAGTGCAGAGTAACTTCTCATGTGCAAGCGCTCATGTGCATGTATACATGGACACGCACAAGAGCATGTGCACGCACGTGTAAGCACACGTGTACACCCGAACGTATGCATGCATGCGTACACATGTTGGTGAATATGTATAAATGGTCAAACACACAAGACAGATCCCTTGTATACCCTCAACAAGCGGTTTAGGGCAAGTGCTGTTAGCAAGCACCAATGGGGGCCAACATGGAACACGAGGGGGAGGTGTGGCTAGTACCACCCCCGGCCACCTCGCTTGCTCCAGTGGTGATGTTTACACGCTGAGTTGACCTAGGGGAGATCCAGGACCAGTTCAGATTTGTCACTGACATTAACCATAAGCGGGAATCGAATGCTGGTCTCCGGGTTCAGAGTGCAGTGCGTTAACCATTGCATCACCATTCCCTATATGTAAGCGCGCACACAGTGCCACACACTCAGGATCATTGATTCATAGGCAAAGAGCCAGAGACGCAACGAGGGAGAGAGTCGATCACCTTCACTTGTTCACCTGTCTTTTGTCCCCGGTTACTCCCCCAGGAGAAGGAGGGCATCCAATGGGAGGCGAAGGAGGAGGGTGACGAGGAGGACGAGGAGGTAGTGGGTGGAGAGGAGGAGGAGGACGACCACATGGAGTTCTGCCGCGTGTGCAAGGATGGCGGGGAACTGTTGTGCTGCGACACGTGCCCCTCGTCGTACCACATCCACTGCCTCAACCCTCCACTCCCCGAGATACCCAACGGGGAGTGGCTCTGCCCACGCTGCACGGTGAGGGGCTCCCTGGGCAGTGGGCACAAACAGGGCCAGTGGGCAACACGTGGAGCTAGTGGGAACACCCAGTGCGAGCTGTTGGGAGAGTGGTCGCACGGGTGGGGCATAATGGTCTCGTGGTCAGCTGAGCTTTGTTGGTGGGTGGGGGACACAGTTTTGTGGGTACATGGGCTCTGGGGAGAGGGTGGGCACATGGGTTGGCAGGTGGGAGGGTGTGCACAGGTTGTTCGGCACGTGGGCTCGCTGGTGGGTGGGCATGGTTTGGCTGGTGGTGGAAGGGGTATAGGGACTTTGCATCTTGACCCTGATGTTGATGTCTTAATTGTTTGCACTCACTAGAGTTTCCACACGCCACTGACTTCAGTCATCGGCATCATCTTCCCTTGTGCTCTCCCACACTCCTGCCCACCATTACAGTGCCCCCCAGTGGAGGGAAAGGTTCAGAAAATCCTGCACTGGAAGTGGGGGGTGGCCCCCCCTTCAACACCCGTGGCGAGACCAGCGGATGCCCCTCCGGATGCGCCAGACCCCAAGCCGCTGGAGGGGAGACCGGAGCGCGAGTTCTTTGTGAAGTGGAGCAATCTCTCCTACTGGCACTGCTGCTGGATCACAGAGCTGCAGGTGTGAGGCCAGCCTTGTCGTCCCCCAGCATTCTGTCCATTTGTCTGTTTTACCTTTGTCCATTTGTTAGCTCATTCTGCTGTGTGTCTGGTTATGTTTTTGTCGATCCCTTTATCTGTTTATCATTCTGTTAGTATACCTCTATCTAGTGTGTGATGCCTTTTCAGTCTGTTTATCTCTGTCTATCTGTACACATGTATTTATCTCTGACCCATCTCTCTGTTTATCTTGTTGGTAATTCGGTCCGTTCGTTTCTCTGTTTGCTCGCATGTCTGCTTGTTTACTCGCCCACCCTTCTGTCTTTTTACCTTGTTACGTCCAATCGCCGTCTGCGTCTTTCTATATTTTGGTTACCACTGTCCGTCAGTCCCTTTTTACTTTCGTCTCCCTGTCCATCCGTTTTTGTCTGGATCTTTCGTCCATCTGTGCTTAACGACCCGTCTGTCCAACACGCCCAACCAAACCCGCACCCCCGTGCCGCAGTTGGAGATCTACCACCCCGTGATGTACCGCACGTACCAGCGCAAAACCGACATGGACGACCCCCCGGCATTTGACTACGGCTCGGGCGAAGAAGAAGGGAAGGTGGAGCGGCGGCGCAAGAGCAAAGACCCCAAGTTCGCCGAGATGGAGGAGAGGTTCTACCGCTACGGCATCAAGCCCGAGTGGCTCATCATCCACCGCATCATAAATCACAGGTGATGACTGTGCACCACTAACCACAGCCACCAACCAACCACAGTTGGTTGGTTATGTTGCACGCGTCCGTAATGGAGCACTGTGGAGGTGCATGTTGGTGGTTACGCGCACATTATTTTAACTGTTTAAATGTGCTGGGCTATGCAGATGCCATTTCTTGGCCTGCCAGGATGCAGTACAGCAAGTGGGCTAAATTCTATCTGTGGGGATTGAGTGAAACTCACCTCTCGCACGTTTGGGATTTCTCCTGGGACTCTGGTTTCCTCCCAGCGTATATAAATACTCATCAGTGGGAGTTGGCCAAACATCCCAATATAGGGCCACAGAGCTTGGGCAATCGACACCCATTCTGGCTGCCTTTCCCGCCTGCCAGTGGTTGGCTGTGAACTTTGGGTCTTTTTGAAAACTGTTTTAAACTGAGCTCTACCGGCACAATGCCGTTTTTGGTGGGTCGCAAAAGAGCGCCTGAGACTTTTGTAAAAATTTTAATGAGTATTCTTTTCAGTCACGGAAGTACAGAAAAACACAACACGAGCCACCGGTAATGTGGGCTTGGCACATTTTCCAGGCTGCCCCAAAGTTGATGTTTGCATCTAAATTGCAGGAACGCAGTTTAAGCTACTGCAGCGCAATGATTGTTTATTTGTTAAAGTGTGAAGGTTCAAATGTGTTTTTTTGATCAACCCCCCTACCGTTTTTCCCTTCCCTTCAGCATCGACAAGAAGGGCAACATCAGCTATCTGATCAAGTGGCGCGACCTCCTGTACGACCAGTCGACCTGGGAGAGCGATGACCTGGACATCCTCGATTACGATCTCCATCGCACCTCCTACTGGACGCACAGGTGCGGAGGGCTCTCACCCGCGTGTGGGTGATCATCGTTATTACTCGAGTTCCTGTTGCCGTTCCACGTCTTTGTCTCCCCAACATTGTCTCGTCTCGCGGCGGCGAGATATCTCTGCCTAGTATGCAGGAGGGTTTGTGTTCGATCCAGTCCCTTGATGCCTGTTGTATATTTCGAGTTTGCCTGTTCTCCCCGTGGTGGTGTGGCTTTTTCTCCGGGTCTTCTGGTTTTCCACTCCACATTTAGAAGCATGTATTTCGATTATATAGCTGCTATAAATTTCCACGTGATAAGCCGCTTTGTTGGGCTATAATTTGTGGCCAGGTTGCTTCTGAAAAGGAGTTAATAGCTTTGTGGGCTTTACCTGATGAATAAAAATAGCTTAGTTTTTAGTTGAACCTTTACATCCACTTTCCGTGATTGTGAAGTTGTCATAATGCGTGGTGTCATCTTGCGACGTCACGCACCTTGGGACATAATTGCATTCGTAGCTTGCGTGGCGTATAAGGTAACGTTATCGTTGTTACCGTCAGCCTGTAAACTTCCCACTCCTGGGCGAAGGCCTGCCCCATTCAGATTCCTCCTTTTTCCCCAGTTGATCCTCTCTAGTAGTGGCCTCCAAACTCTGGCTGCTACTATTTCTTCACCTCTCGATCTCCAACTCCGTAGTCCGTTTGTCACTCATGACTCCTCATGACCCGTGCCTTCGCCGTTATACGCTTTATTTCCTTTGAGTTGACAACAATAGCATCGGTTACCCTATACCTTTCCTTGTTTCTTAATTCCTTAACCCATCTCTGGAACTTGCATTGTTTTAGTTAATTAAATACTTCTTCTAAGGCCAAAACGCACGTTCTTGAAGTGTTGGTGTCCGTGCGTGATTTTAACTTCCACCTTTTTTACGCGCGGTTTCTCTCGTCGTTTAGAGAGATGATGATGGGCGAGCCGGGCAAGTGTCCCAAGAAGCTCAAGAAGACCAAGAAATTGCTGAAGGAGAGCAACAAGTCACCAAAACCTCCAGACACCCCCATCGTTGATGTAAGTTTCCAGTACACAGCCAGGGGCTCTCATGGAAATTTACCTGAGCTGCTGGTAGATTGCAGCAGGTATCGCGTCACTAGTAGCCAAGGTGGAGAGTTACTACAGCCGTAGCGAGCACCTTTAGCTAATGGCACTTTCTCCCAATGAGCACTCTGTGTTAAAATACTACAGGGGTTTCTTAGTGCAGTGTGTTTTAATGCTGTGTCAGGTGTGTTAGTCTGTGTGAACGTCTTTTTGTTTGTGTCACATGCCTGCCTTGCCTTGTGTGTTCATGTTTGCGCGTAATGTGTGTCCCTGTGCGTCTGCATTGGTTTGAGTGTTAGTGTGTTAACGTGTTAGTGCTTGTCAGAACCGTCCGTATGGCTATACGAACAAGGTAATTGCTTCTTGTCTTTGCTCACTTCTGCCACCCTCCTCTCCCTCTCCATTCCCCACAGCCGACGATCAAGTTTGAGAAGCAGCCCGACTACGTGGAGGTGACGGGAGGGCAGCTGCACCCCTACCAGCTGGAGGGGCTCAACTGGCTGCGCTTTTCCTGGGCCCAGGGCACTCACACAATCCTTGCGGATGAGATGGGGCTCGGCAAGACTGTGCAGACCATAGTCTTCCTCTACTCGCTCTACAAAGAGGTGGGAGTCGTCGTGACGTGGAGTCGGCGGTTGTGCTTCGTACACAATCACCCATAACACACGTTCATTCACATGCTCCAGCACGACAACGACAGCCGCCAAGGTCATGGCCATGTCGCCACATCGCCTGTGTGAGGTGAGATTTACGGTAAAGAGGACCCGGAGAAAAATCCACGGTGAGAACACGCAAACTCCAAATATACAGCAGGCATCAGGGTCGGGAGCGAACCCACGACCCATATACCAGGCGAGGTGGTTAACATCTCGCCACCGTGGTGCCCAATGTAACTGGTTTTGGCCAAAACATCCCAGTGCCAAGAAATTATCTTGAAGTGTCTTAATTGGTTTTACACACAGCTGGACCACTCTTACATCACTGGTAATAAAAGGAGGAGGGTGCTGGGAAAACATTGCGTTGACCACGCCGGTGTCTGTCTCTGCAGGGCCACTCAAAGGGCCCGTACCTGGTCAGCGCGCCGCTCTCCACCATCATCAACTGGGAGCGCGAGTTTGAGATGTGGGCGCCCGACTTCTACGTGGTGACGTACACGGGCGACAAGGACAGCCGCGCCGTCATCCGCGAGAATGAGTTCTCGTTTGACGACAGCGCCATTCGCGGTGGCAAGAAGGCTTCCAAGATGAGGGTGAGTGCGTGCTCGCCCCGCCCGTGTAGTACGATTGTGTATGTGTGGGGAGCGTTACTGTCGTGGTTAGAACGCGCTGCTGTACGAACCTCGCGACCTGTGGTTCCCGCTTACGGCCAACATTTGTAGCGATTTTCTCTACCGGTACTGGGCCTCCCCTAGGTCGATTTGGCTTAAAATGAGTAACTTGTGTCGTGTGCATACATCAGCACGGCGGAAACAATGGCATGTGGGTCTGGTGTCGGCCACACCACATTCCACTTGTCCGCTATTTCGGCCTTAATTGGTGCTCGCTAACACTGCTGTGGTCCTGGCAGCCTGTGTAGGTTGCAAAAGGGGGGCGGCGGGGGGTACTTTGTGTGTCATCGTGTGTTGCCGAGCTGATGGTTGTGCATAGATTCCTCCAGCCTTGTCTGCTGAAGACCAGCATGGGTCTTGAGATGGACTGATGCTTCCTCAGTTATTGCCCTTGGTCTCATGGGTGTGGCCTTGGTCCGACAACTTTAAGGACCTGGGTTGTGTTTTAAACTGTTCACATACAATTAATTGCTCACTGCAATAACTTTCCTCAGTTCTTGTTATTAATCTCTTGCTAATTTTAATAGATTTTTTTCTCCCCAAAAATAAATTGGGAGGAGGTTAATTACGTAATGTGAGGTTCATAATGAAATGTATAAGTTGAATTCTAAGCTATTTAGTCTATTGGCAGCCTAGCAGAATTAGTCATTGACACACTGGGTTTGCCTCAAAGGCTTTTGGCCTTCAAGCAATGACTGGATTCATTCCTCGATGAGAATCGACTCTTGCACTCGGGACTTGCGCGTCGAACCGTGCGAGGGAGGATCGGTTGCTTTCGAGTCGTATCGCTTCTGTGTGTAGTTGCATCTTGTTTACCCTGCAGCTACTTAGAGACCATAAAATCGGCACACTTGGGAGCCCAGTTTAATCGCAGGAGGTTGAAAGTGCAGCGTCTCAGCTGGTGCTGGCTCAGTGTCTGACTTACATGGTCATTATGATGTTGGTTCCGTAGTCTCCTGGTCAACTATTGTGGCTTTATTTGTCTTCATCACTTAACCTTTTGACAGTATGGGGGATGATTTCAGGTTTGCTGTTTTTTCCAGGAGGTTGCTGCCTGGGAAGTTTTTCAATTGCTGGTTGAGTTGTTCGTTTCTTAAGGGAGGGAATGGGAGAGCCCGGGGAAAAAAAACTCCACACACACGAGGAGAGGTTACTCAAAGATCCCGCACATGTGCGCCAACAACCTTCTCGTTGCGTGTGCTTGGGGTTTCTCCGGGGTCTCTGGTTTCTTCCAACACGAAACAAAAACTCTAAAGAACTGGCTAAACATTACCATGCGGGACTCGTGAAAAGTAGTTTTCAGATACAATAATGTTAACTTTTTTTGGTCCCACAGCGAAGTTAATGTTATCCACATCCTCATTTCCGTGCTCTTGAGGTTTTTTTTTTTAAACTGAAATCCACCATAGGGTTGTGTTGCCACAAGTTATCACAACTTCACGTAAAACTTTATGGTGCATGACACGGAGGTTTCTTAACAACAGTCTTTGCGTTGTCAGTGTCGCGTTTATATGCTGTGTGTACTGTTGCTCGCGGTGTCGTTTGTGTAGCTGTTGTGTGTTGTATGTATTAATATTGTTGCTCGTTGATTTGTTGTTGATCATTATTGTCATTGTGTTGTCGTTTTTGTTATCCTTTGCATTGTCTTGATGATCGGGTTACTTTGTAATCACATCCCCATTGTGTTGTCTGCTAGTGTTTTTTTTCCTGGTAATATATTGTTGTGCAATGTAATGTATCATTGTTGCATGTTCTTAGTGTTACGACAATATTGTTTTCACAATCATGTTTGCACGTTTTCTTGTTACTGCCATGTTCTGATTTGTTTATTGTTGTGGTGTTGCTGTGCTTTGCCCGTTTCGTTATTGGGTTGTGGTGTTCCGATTGTAACGTTGATGGTGCATGTTGTGGTGTTGGTGGATGTTGTGGTGGGGATGATATTGTGGTGGTATGGTTGTTCTGATATGGTTGTTGTTGTGGTCGTGGTGGAGAGCAGAAGGACGCAATGGTGAAGTTCCACGTACTCCTCACATCGTACGAGCTAATCACCATCGACCAGGCTGTGCTGGGCTCCATCGACTGGGCCTGTCTTGTGGTTGATGAGGCCCACAGGCTCAAGAACAACCAGTCCAAGGTGAACTAGCTCACCTCCACACTCTCAACCACTTACTCAACCAATTACCCACTTGCTTGCCCAAGCACTCAAATCTCTTATTCAACCAATCACCCGTCTGCCTGCCTGTTTCCTCATTCCCCTTCTCTTGTGCCATTTCAGTTTTTCCGAATCCTCAATGGCTATAAGATCGACACGAAGCTCCTACTCACAGGGACACCTCTGCAGAACAACCTCGAGGAACTGTTCCACCTCCTCAACTTCCTCACATCTGACCGATTCAAGTACGTATCAGTCCTCGTCTTGCCCCGTTTATGGCAAATCTTAAGTAAATTGGAGCAGCGATGGGAAAGTGTCTGACACCGAGAGCAATGAGTAGCCTTGGTGAAGCTGTCTTAGTTCTGTGCACTGGCACACTGAAAACGCATCATCATCAAGCTTTGAATCCCTACCTAGAAAACTTGTTTGTTCCGTTAGCCAAACGGTGAACACCTGCGTGTACTCCCCATTTGTTAAATCCACTGTTGGATAAGGGCCTTTCCATGTCATGTGGGTCACGTGGGCTGCTTCACCCTACTTCACCACGCTGGCGACCTGCCGATCAACTTAACTGTGCAGTACCCATCGAATTCGTATCAATCGTAACAAATTTATTCTATGATCCAGCATTTGAGCCCGTTCCGTGTTTACTGTCCAAAAGCGAAACTAGAACTGTACGTGCCGTCGTTTCGTGCAGCAACCTGGAGGGCTTCCTGGAGGAGTTTGCCGACATCTCCAAGGAGGATCAGATTAAGAAGCTGCACGACCTCCTGGGGCCCCACATGCTGCGGCGTCTCAAGGCCGACGTCTTCAAGAACATGCCCTCCAAGACGGAGCTCATCGTGCGCGTCGAGCTCAGCCCCATGCAGAAGTGAGCGTCGACGGCACCGGAGGGTTTCCGCTATCGAAAATGCTCCCCCCTCTATCTAGTACCCGATTCGTGCGGCTATGACACTCGCAATTACAGACCTGGGTTACTCTTGACATTGGACTTTGAGTCCCATCAGGCCATTTGGATGTGATAAGTCTCTTGTGGCTCTATTTCATAGTTGGCTGTAGGTTCCAAACCCCTGACCTCGGGGGTTTACATTGTTCTGTGTCAGACAGCCAGCAGCGCTCGGGTCCCTAGGTTTGGGTGCCTCTTCGTGTATCACAATGGCACTGAATGTATCTCTGACGGTCACCATTAACTTAATGCACACCAAATATTACTGTCAAATATAATTTGGCTTGTCATTTCAATTTGGGTGAATTCTAGAGAATTAAAACATACCGGTAAGTTTGATTGCGCGCGCTCTACAACAAACACTTTTTGTAAAGCTTTTGCAATATTTTCCAGAGTTACCTTTCTTTTTCCCTGAACAAAGTTGCTGAGCACGGGCCCAAAAGATTAATCGGCCAGCAACAAACGGCACGATCAAAGTTGTACTGGATAAGAGTTATCACGTGTCCTGAATTGAGCCCGGTTGTTGTGTAAGAGTTTGGCAAGATATATGATGGGAGTGATTTCCAAATTCGAACAGTGGTCGGGGCGAAGCAGTAAGAGGCATGTTGTGACTTGCAGTGTGTGTTTTTTTAACTTCTTTTGCACCGTACGTAACCAAATGTGCTAATCGAAGGTGCAGCGTGTGGTGGTTGAGTGAGTGTAATGACCTGTAGTGTGGCGGTAGATCACAGGCGTGGGTGAGACGAAACTGAATCCCTTATGTATGTGTGTGTTACGCTATGGTGCAATCTCAGGAAATACTACAAATTCATTCTCACGCGCAACTTCGAGGCACTGAAGTCCAAGGGTGGTGGTAACCAGGTGTCGCTCATCAACATCATGATGGACCTGAAGAAGTGCTGCAACCACCCCTACCTCTTCCCGGTCGCAGCCATGGTAACCACTTCGTTGATTCGCTCTTCCCTCCATGCACATGTGCACGTGTAAATAAGTACGGATGAATGCGCCTGTGCACATGACACATACACGCACTCGCACACATGATATACCCATGTAACCCTAACGTCTGCCACTCAACCACTTAAGTGGAGGTGACCTCACAATGATTTGGGCCATGCTAGGCACACTCATAAAGGCGTTGTGTATGTATAACTGCTTTCGCACCGTATGTAGCCAATCATGCTCATCGGACGTGTGGGGCAGAGACAACACACTAAACACAAGCATTTCTAAAGAAATTCGTTTTCAATCTAGATTTAAATGTGCATAGCTCCAGTGGCTTCCTAATATCAGAAGGAAGAGCGTTCCAGACAGCCGCAGAAGCGCATCTGAAAGCGCGCGATGCAGTTCGTGGCCCGCCTTTGTACGATGGCTTGCCAAAAGCTGCTTCGAGGAGGGAAATGCTCGCGTGCACACACCCACGTAAACACGTATGTCGGGTCATGAGGTTCCATGTAAATGCATGCAAATCGCACCCCAAATCATGCATTTAAACATTCACAGTTAATTGTGAACACCTAAACGCCGATTAAAACGCTGAAAACTAAAATCAGACACCTTTTGAGGATTCTCGGACACTCCCTTGTCAATGTTGAAGACTCGCAGACCCACACTAAGGCACACCGGGTCGGAGTGTCAAGGCTGAGATGACGGACGCGCGTGTGCTCTACTAATCGTGCCGTGTGCCGTCTCGCCATCCCCCACGTGCAGGAGGCACCGAAGCTGCCGAACGGCGTCTATGACGGAACGTCCCTGGTGCGTGCCGCTGGCAAGCTCATGCTGCTGCAGAAGATGCTGCGCAAACTCAAAGCTCAGGGCCACAGAGTGCTCATCTTTTCCCAGGTCCATTGCCGCTCATCTCCGCTTCGATTGAGCCGCGTCCTGTCTTATTTACGGAGGCACTGTGCCCATCTCCCAGGTTCATTGCCACGCCCGCCTTCTGTCGGCCTGCTGTCAATCATCTCCGGTCATCAGTAATCGCCGGCCACCACCAGTCAATTGCAGTTATGAGTCATTTCCACCCACAATCTCACTGCCATCCACCACTACAAGTCACTGTCAGTCACTATGAGATTACAGTCACCACCAACCATAGCCACTCCATGTTCCTCTGACTATTCTCATTTTGTCTGTTCAATCAAACTTAAGTCTGTTTATCCACTTATCCATCTGGCTATCACGTCATTTCTCATCACCCATTTGTCTCTTTGTCAAGCTGGTCACCATTTTATCCACTTGTATGTGTGCGTGTATCATCCACAAACTCGTTTTGTGATCCTTCTGTTTTTGCGTTAACTTGTCCATCTACTCATGTCCATCTCCCTCGTCCCCTCTCGCCACACAGATGACAAAGATGCTGGATCTCCTGGAAGATTTCCTGGACAACGAGGGCTTTAAATACGAGAGGATTGATGGAGGCATCACAGGCAGCCTCCGGCAAGACGCCATCGACCGATTCAATGGTGGGTACCTTCTCTATCGCCATCACCATAGTCTCCACCAACATCACACCATCATCATCACCAACATAACTAATATCACAAGGAGCTTCTGGCAGGATCGTTAAGGTTGTGTATCATCACCAACATGACTATCCACAGCAATAACAACACCACCAACATAATAACATCACCTTCACCGACATCACTACAGTTGCCAACATAACTAACATCATCACCATTTCCATAATAGATACCATCGGTTTTGTCATGTTCCTGACGATTCTTAATGTCAGAACTGGCCCATTGTCATTGAGAGTGCGGTGCCAGGGACACTTTGTTGGCGGTGAGATGTTATCTCCCTCACCTGGTATACAGAAGGTCGTGATTTAGATCCCAAACTCGACGTCTGGATATTTGGAGTTTGCATGTTCTCCCCGTGGTCATTAGGATGTTTCTCCGGGTCCTCTGGTTTTTCCTCCACATTTACATTCAAAATGCATGAGAGTATTTGGCTACTGCTATAAATTTCCACGTGATAAGCCCACTTTGTTGAGCTATCAGGTTGCGTCTGAAAAAGAGCCCAGAGCTTAGTGCGCTTTACCTTAGTAAATAAAATAGTTTTTTTGATGTCTAATGGTGCCGATCTGCCGCTTGTGTCGCCTGCGTCAGCTCCCGGGGCTCAGCAGTTCTGCTTCCTGCTGTCGACGCGAGCGGGAGGCTTGGGCATCAACCTGGCGACGGCCGACACGGTCATCATCTACGACTCGGACTGGAACCCCCACAACGACATCCAGGTGCTCGACATGGCACACGGGGGGAGGGGGAGCTCTACTATCTGAGACGCAAGGGGGGGGACTTGATCTGAATCGACACACGGAACTGCAGAGGGGGGCGGCAGGATGGCCTGGTGCTAACACTCGTGCGTGCCTCGTAGTCAGAAGGGCCTGTGTTTGATTCCTGACCTTGTATATTCTCCCCATTCTGCATGGGTTTCCTCCGGGCTCTCTGATTTCATCCCATAGCTCAAAACGTACAGTGGAACTGGTATTACACAAACATCGCACTGCTGATAAATTACTTGCAAATTGGGATTACACAGATCTTCATGCCCAACCACGCAGTGCACGTCCCTCCACCGTCTGCGGGAGAAGTGGCAGTGGCGATTACGCGATTTGGGCCGCGTGCGTGGCATTTGTTGCTCCCGCCACTGGGAAAATCTGCCAGGGACCTTCCTTATAAAAGCCTTTTAAAGACTGAAGCTTTCCTGAGGAAACACACGAATCGCATGGTAACATGACACGAGACACGCAGGACAATGAGGCAAAGCAGCGTAAACCGAAACAAAACACGCGATTCAATACGGCACACGACACGAGAATGTAAAGCTTAATAACAGTGTCTCTTTTCGAAAGGGAGACCTGGGCGGGCCTTAACTTTGTTGTTATTGTTGTTTTGTGTGCCAGGCCTTCAGCAGAGCCCATCGAATCGGGCAGGCGAACAAGGTGATGATTTATCGATTCGTGACCAGAGCCAGTGTGGAGGAGCGAATCACACAGGTGAGATGTCTGCATTTAACTGCAGGCGGGGAGTGAATGTTAACGCGTGTGAGCGAGTGTGTGTAATGGGGACAGAGCATTAATGGCTCGTGTGCTGCGCTACGAAATCCGTCGACCCGAGTTCGATTCCCACTCTCGACCAGCGTCGGTGACGACTAATTGAACTGGTCCTGGGCCTCCCCTAGGTCGACTCTTGCCTCAAATGAATACCTGATGCAGTGTGTAAACATTGCCACTAGGGAGACAAAGGTCGTCAGGCATGGTGCTGGCCATCCACCCCCTCATGTACCATGCCGGCCTTCATAGGTGCTTGCTAATAGCACTTACCCCAACAAGCCTGTTAAAGTTACACAGGGGATCATTGCCTTAGTAATGAGCAGGTGGCAACAGTGGTCAGCAGAGGTGCATCTGCCAGTGGTCTCATTTAACACTCAACGTCTGGGTCTGTCTCATGGGTTGCCAGCAGCCAGCCTGCATACTTAACGTGTCCTCAAAGTGCGCCTAGCATAGTACAACTACCATGGTGAGGTCAGTGTCTATTCGTGGTAAATGGCAGCTGGAATAATGAAGAGTGGTAGTGAAGTGGTTCGTATCTCCAACTATCAACATGGCAACCTGAGATTGATTCCTGGCCACAGCTAAGATCGGTGGAAAATTGCGAACCGGTCCTGGGCCCTCCTCTAGGGTTGACTTAGTCTTAGAAGTGGATTGGGTGTGTACAGTGCTGAGAAAAAATGTTTGGAAGCAGCAACCTCTTGACCCTCCTTCCCTGAATCGCACAGGTGGCGAAGAAGAAGATGATGCTCACTCACCTGGTCGTGCGGCCTGGTCTTGGCTCCACCAAAACCGGCTCCATGAGCAAGCAGGAGCTGGATGACATCCTCAAGTTCGGCACAGAAGAGCTGTTTAAGGATGACGTGGAAGGTAGCGATGCACGTGGGAACGTTCAGAAATGTGCGTGGAGGCGTGGAGACAGTAGGCAACGAGGATGCAGGGGTGATGAACATTGGGCCATCTGGGGACACAGGGGAAATGCTGCGGGTGTACTGGGACACGTGACACGAGGACTCGTGAGGGCACAAGGAGATATTCAAAAGCCAGCGGCAGTGGAATAGTCCTTTGGAATATTGGGGGTGCCCCCACGTCATTTATACAGTCCTGTTCAGTTCATTAGCCTCAGCGGAACATTGGCATAACATTGCATGAAAAAAATAGCATTTTTAAAAAAATTGCTAATTACTCTTGTTATGGAGTGGCTACGTGCCTCATGGTGATGTCGATATTTACGAGTATCTTTCCGCTGGCAGGTGAGATCAAGGAGAATGACGAGGTGAGCGTGATCCACTACGACGACAAGGCCATCGAGAAACTGCTGGACCGGGACCAGCAGGACAGCACTGAGGTGGAGCCAGACATTCAGAGCATGAATGAGTACCTGAGCTCATTCAAGGTGGCGCAGTACATCGTCAAGGAGGAGGAAGAGGTGAGGGGGTGTGCCTCTACAGAGTACCCAGAGTACACGTGCAATACGCACAACACTGTGCAACCCTCGCCTCCTCGACAATGCACTAAGTGACGCCCGGATCCTTGCACTTGAAGAATTGCGCCGACACAATAATTTACAACATTCATGAACTCATGATGAATTGTGCTCCTCCCTCCGTGCAGCCCGAGGAGGAGGTGGAGCGGGAGATCATCAAGCAGGAGGAGACGGTGGACCCCGACTACTGGGAGAAGCTGCTGCGCCACCATTATGAGCAGCAGCAGGAGGACCTAGCGCGCAACCTGGGCAAGGGCAAGCGCGTTCGCAAGCAAGTGAACTACAACGACGCGGCGCAGGAAGACCCGGGTACAGGGCACGCACGAGGAGACACGGGGACTAATGGAGAGACACGGCGAGTTTGGAGGGAGGCGCGGGAGATGTAATACAAGGACGTGGCTTGGGAAGGACCCCCGGGTGTACGGGAGACACGGGTGGGGTGGGGATGAACGCGGAGATAGTGGGGAGACACAGGGACGTGCTGAGACACGGTCGGAGGGCATATATGGGTCAGGCGACATGACAATGCACAGGGAGGGACAGGAGGTTAAAGGAAGTTTGAGAGGAAACGGGAGATGCGGATAGTTGAAGGCCTGCACGGCGAGTCGCTGGAACACGAGAAGACATGGGGGGGGGGGGTGGTTGGGGACGATGGTGATGGGGACAATGGGGGTGTGGGGGGGAGAGACGTTCAAGCAGGCCAGTTATATAAATATGGTACGTGATGAGGCCTTGAAGGCACAGACATGGGTACAAGTAGGTGAGGACATGAGGTGGAAACATGAGCAGGAGTAACTACAATGTTGTGTAGAAACTACGGACGGACGTGGAATGGAGCTCCACGTGGGGAACATGGAGATGCATGGCGACGTTGAGCACAGGAAACATGGGGGGAGGGGGGTTTACAGGTTTTGTGGACATGACTACATCATTATAAGGCATTAGATTAATCCACTGCTGGATGAAGGCCTCCCCATGCCGTCGCCATCTCCCATGGGTCCAGCGATGTAACAATCCATCTAGCTCCTGCACACGTGGTGGACGTAGTCTTTGAGACATGACGAGGGGACAGCGGGTGGGGGGGGGGCGGACCCTTAGTTGGAGACGACCACAAGGGGACGCTGGCTAATGGACGAGACTTGAGGTGTCCGTGTGTCTATCGTGTTTCAGACTGGAGGGACGATTTGTCGGACAACCAGTCAGACTACTCGGTGGGCTCCGAGGAGGAGGACGAAGACTTCGAGGAGAGACCAGAAGGTCCGATCACTCATTCGTTGCAAGGCTCACTCATTCGCTTAATCACTCAATCAGCTTTTTCGCTCTTTCGATTATTCGCTCAATCAATCGCTCTCGATTATCTACTTGTTAAATTGTTTGATGTTCACTCCATATCTCGTACATTTTCTCCATGCATTCCTTCATTATAAAGCTCGCTCGATTAAATGAGTCGCTCATTAATTTGAGGTTTGACAAGCATTCTCTTTCCTTGGTTTGCTCATTGGTCATTCGTGCATTCACTTGTGGTTCACTTGTTAGATGACTTTCTCATTTAAACTCGCTCATTAAGTTAATTTACCTTGAATTAAGGCTTTCGTGACTGCAGGAATTCATACTCTTTGGGTCTTTCGGTAAAGTCACGTAGATAGAAAAATTAAAATAAATCACGACGTTTCGATCGCAACACAAGCAAATGGAAACGTGATTTATTATTTTTCTATCTACGTGACTTTACCGAAAGACCCAAAGAGTATTAATTTATCTGTTAATATTCTTTCCTTTAATGTTTACTCATTTGTTTTTCTTTTCTTGATTGAATTAGCCTGTTTTGTGATTTGTCCGTTCGCTCTTTCGGTTTCTCACGTGTTGATCAACTCTCCAATCAACTTTCGTCCACTCGTTTATTTGCCTGTCCTCCAAGTTGATGATCTCATCCTTCGGCTCTCTTGCTCGTTTATTGGCAGTCCTGAGCCGGCTGTGGAAAGCACCCACGTTCCTGTGACGTGGACCAGTTTATCCTCATCCTCCCGTGTGTGTGTGTGTGTATGCACTGCCCTTGTGGCGCTCGTTGGTAAAATATTTCGCGTTCGGTTTTTGCAGGCGGCGGACGACGCCAATCCAAGCGCCAGTTGAAGAATGAGCGCGACAAACCGCTCCCGCCTCTACTCGCCCGCGTCGGAGGGAACATTGAGGTACATGGGGTGGGGGCAAGGGGGGTGTTCATGCGCAATGGATAATGATTTGCAGTGACACTAATTGTAATTATAACTAGACTATTTTTTAGTTTACCTGGTAAGGCTCACTGAGCTATGTAGCTCTTTTTCAGAAGTGACCTGGCCACAAATTATAGCCCAACGAAGTGGCTTATGTGGAAATTTATAGTCGCCAAATACTTGTAAACGCATGTTTCTCAATGTGGAGGGAAAACCGGAGGAGCCGGAGAAAAATCCACGCAACCAAAGGGAGAACATGCAAACTCCAAATATACAGCAGCAGACGTCAGGGTTGGGATCGAACCCACGTCCTGTATACCAGGCGAGGTAGTTAACATCTCTCCACTGTGGCGTCCACTATAATTGACCCCAAGTCCTGGCATAGAGTGAGGGGTACATAGAGGGAGTGAGCACATGGGAGGAGCGGATTTCTTTCTAGTGTGTTAGGGGGAGGATGAGTGTTAGGCCCGGGGAGCTTGTGTAAGTGGCAGAGTTGTTAGTTTAACATGTAGGCTTTCGTAACCAATATAAAAAACCTCTTTTGAATATTGTTAGTTGTGAGGCTTGGGTGTTTTGTTGATCCGCTCGTCCCGCCCTCCCCGCCCCCTCCACTGCACAGGTGCTGGGCTTCAACGCACGGCAGCGCAAGGCGTTCCTGAACGCGATCATGCGCTATGGGATGCCTCCGCAGGACGCGTTCGGCTCCCAGTGGCTTGTGAGAGACCTCCGTGGAAAGAGTGAGCGCGAGTTCAGGTATGCGAGCTCGCAGGTGTAACGTGTACGCGCACGCACACTCGTGTACGCGCACGCACACTCGTGTACGCGCACGCACACTCGTGTACGCGCACGCACCACAGTGTGTCATGCCCAGCCTCGACCCGGTCTCCAGCAGTGGACGCGGTCACCCTGGTTTTGACACAGAGCAATGTTGAATCCGTGAATCATGGAGGGCGGGCAGGAGGGCCGACCTTAGCTCTTAAAGGCTTCACGGGACAAAGCGACCATCATCGTAGCTTGCACGTGCCTGCAGCACGCCTGAATTATAGAACGTACACGCACGCATCCGACTTGTAGCTCACATGGTCTGTTTGGGATAGTGCTGTTAGCGAGCACCTTTGAAGGACCGCGTGATACGCGGTGAGGTATTGTGGTCAGAACCACGCACGCCCACCTTTGTCTCCCCAGTACTGATATGAAGATACTGATTCAGGTTGGTTTTGAAGCAGTCAACATTGGGGAGGTCCAGAATTGGTTAACATTATTCTCCACTGGGGTTAGTCCTGGCCGGTAAGCAAACTTGGGCCGTGCAGCTTGTAGCGGAGCATGCAAACCGCTGCACTTCCACTCCCCACAATGACAAACGCATATAGACGCATGTGCAGATTTTTGCACGTACACAGACACCAATATGGGAGGTACATTCCTCCTCACGGTACCGATGTATGCCCCACTGCAGTATATTTGTGTTTGTGTGCCAGCCGACGTTCCTTGGTCTTTCTTTTGTCTCCATGGCAGTTGTCTTTGAGACACCAGTAACGTGCTTGTCTCCCTTCCCTCCCTCCCGTATCTGCAGAGTGTACATCTCATGTCATGAAACGCCAGTGTAAATAAGCTTATCTCCCTGTGTGCCCCCCCCACCGTGTCTCACCAGGGCGTACGTGTCTCTGTTCATGAGACACCTGTGTGAGCCGGGTGCGGACGGAGCAGAGACGTTTGCAGATGGTGTCCCGCGCGAGGGGCTGTCCCGTCAGCACGTGCTCACCCGCATCGGCGTCATGTCTCTCGTGCGCAAGAAGGTGTGAACGCACACCCCACCCCCCCACCCCCGACGAGATGATGGCGGTGAAGAGATTCTTGACGAGACAATGACTGATGATGATAATATTAGAATGATTCATATGATCATTATTTTGATGATGATGATGAGAGCCAGCGTGGTTGGCAATTTTCATGGTGAGGCGATATTACAGTAATGATCTATTGATGATGTTGACGATGACGGTGAAGTTTGATGGAATATACTATTTTTTTTACTAAAATCAATATCTCAAATATACATGACTTGGGCTCATGTTTGCCACTTCTGTGTGGCCAGCGCACACACACACACGGTGTTGTGGGTATTTAGTTCCCAGGTTGTCGCTTGTTCTAACCCGCATCGTGTCGTGGGCGAAGGTGCAAGAGTTTGAGTGTGTGAACGGCAAGTGGAGCATGCCCGAACACAAGCCTCCAGAGGGCATGGAGGTGAAGAAGGTAGCACCCTCGCCCGTGGACAGCCAGGCCAGTACTCCGGCACCCTCCAAACCCGGTGGGTATCGGTCGTACATGCCACGCCGACGATACACACACGCGCGCACAAACCCCAGTGAGAAGGCACTTGCACGCACGTGGCATGGATGTACACAAACACGCCGGTGCCATCCAAACCTGCTGAGTAACGCACTCGCGCGCAAACATTACGCACACCAGCCCCCCTCTGATCCCCCAGTGCATTAAATCACGCACATGTGCCGACATCCAAACGCATTGCAGCGCACGTGCACACTCAACAGGCACTACTCCTCGTAAACCTGCCGAGTCGCTCAAGGGTTGGTAGCGCAGCAGCGTGCTAGTCGCTATACTCCCGCTCCCCACTCGCGCACGCTTGCATGTTCATGCACACGCATGCACGGAGATGTATGCGCCACATATACACTGGCACGCGCTCGTATCTATGCAGGTTTCGCTTGCCTTATGCGGTCGATGCATTCCAACAAAAGGGCGCGCAACGCGGCACGAGACGGCTGCTTGTCGATCAGAGCAAACGGTGCACTCACAATGTTGTCCAACGTCTTGACCGCATAGCTGCATGTGAGTGAAATCAAACCGCATCCCCTCGGGAATCTTGGGTAGAAATATGGTTAACCCCGCGTGTACGCCAAATTGCACAAACCAAACCTGTATAAAGTGAGGGAAGCCTGTATACGCATGCACAAACGGAAAAGACAAAGACCCCCCCCATCTAGCCTGTAACAGACTGTTGGGGCAAGTGCTGTTGGTGGGCACCTATGAAGGCCAGCACTGCAAACGTGGGAGTGGTGATCTTTTCACACCACACTAGGTATTCATTTGAAGTTGAGTCGACCTCTGTATACATGCTCACACGCGCGCACGTGTATACCTGGAATAAACGTGTCCCATGTATGTGATGTGACCACAGCCACACCGGTTCCGGTGGACAAGGCTGTGAGCGAGCCGGCCACTCCTGCCACTGACACAGCGTCGCCCGCAGAGAAACCCACGGAAGCCGAAGCAAGCAAGGAAGAGCCAATGGAGACTGAGGTACTGTCACTGATCTTGCAATCTCCCAAATGTCTTCGAGCATGCCAGTGGATAAAAAGAGTTGGCTTCACGCATGTTTGAGCAGAGACACCGAGGCCTGGGGCTCTCAAACCCAATTACGAACTCTGTGAGAGAGAGAGAGAGCGGGGAGACACCCAAATTGATCCCCGAGATTCCCAGTGGTCCCGGCCAGTGGTGTAGCCAGAGGTGTAGCATGGTTGTGTATGGACCCTGGTGCAAGTAATGAAATGGGGGGCTGCCCCACTATCCAATTTCACATCCCTCCCAGCCCCCCTCTCCTCTTAATCACCTGGTGGCTAACGATCCGCCCCTTTGTTGTCAATGCAGTCGCACCACCTGCCCACTCCCTCGATAGCTATGCCAGCAATGCTGGCTCAAATGTCTCCCAACACAACCCATTATGAACCTGCTAGCCACTTATTGTTGTGACTCTGACCACTTCTCTCTCTATCTGCGGTCGCCTTCCATCGTGTACCCCGTGCAGGCAGCAAAGCCTCCAGAGGAGCCCACCCCCTCGGCATCCCCGACCCCTTCAGCCGAGCCCTCCGACCCCACGACCTTGCAGCTGGAGAAGAGCGAGAAGACTGACACCGCCGATGCTGCAGCAGCAGAAGAAGCAACCGTGGAGAAAGAGGAGGAGGAAGAGCTGATAAAGACCGAGCCGGCAGAGGCACCCGGTAAGAACCCATGGTGTTGCCGGGCTACGGCATGAAGCTGAAAACGCCAGCGCCTATCGCCATCGCTTTCTTCCTTCTACCAGATAATCCGCGGTCAAGTCGACAACTAACCTCAAAGGACAGTTCTCAGGCTCATCACTGCTACCTGGCTATGCGTCGTCTTGCAATACAGTAAAAACGTCCTTCCACGGGACCGCTCTTACAAGGTCTCATCGCATCCAACTGGCTCAGGGTCTTCGCTCAGTTGCCGACCTCAGAATCGGAATATTTATTTATACTGGAGGAGGAATTCGATGAGCTATGCGGCTTTTTTTTCACAGACGTTGAGTAGGGGCGGGTAAGTAATAACAACAAATACCTGAAGACGACCGCTTGTTGTTGCGATCGAAACATCGTGATCTATTTTTTTATTTTCTATCGACGTGACTTTACCGAAAGAACCATAGTCTAACATAGGAAAGGTAAGCAAATCACAAATAAAACAGCCTGCATTGCTGAAATTTTATGAGTTCCAGCACTCGTTCTCAAGGTGTCACAATTCAGGGGTTCATCGTGGAAACTTACATTGCTGAGGTCCTGGATTCAACGTCCCTGCTTTTTATTTTTCATTTTCACCTGCTCACTCGTGCGTTTATTATTTTTTAAAAAACACTGCCCAGCGGACTCTTGTTTTGCAACACTCATCCAACGTGAAGCAACGGCGTTGTTAATTTCCGAACTTTGTCTGCACCCGCGTGCATGCTTGACCTTGCTTGCCATGATGGTGCCAGCTGATGTTTATTTTGCTTTAGTTTGCTGGCTTGTTAACCTGTAAAATATAACATTGCTGCTTCATTGACATTTATAATTGTAAAAAAAAAAGCATTGGAATAAAATAAAACGGTGAGTTTTACCCACTGAGAGATTATGTTGAGTCCTTTAGGCAACAGAAGAAAGACGCCCATGGGTACATTGCTGCATGGAGCACAGCGATGGGATTTACCTTGATTAAGGCTCATCAGTGTTAGCCAAACATCCGAGTACAGGACCATGGAGCTTGGGCAACAGTTTGGCACGTTTTGCTCGTCCTGTGGTTTCCCGTGCCTCGGTGCGGAAACTGCGTGCATTACAAATTTACCAGGTGTTTTGAGATGCCAATTTTGTCTGAACGACGCTAGATAAAACTAGAACATCGTATTAGCTGCGTACTCTCCTTTCGTTCGCCAAAAGATGGATGCAGCAGAATTTTTCTGAAGGTAAAACTCTCGACCGTTTTATTGTTATTTTTTTCGAGGAAGTCGCAACCCCGATAACAGTTGAGAGTGCCGTTTCGTTTAGTCACTAAATCAATACGGCCCAGAGCCAGTGTGGTCGTTTATTTTTGCCGCCGTGAAATGACAAAACTGTGAATTTGCTTTTTACGCCCCCTTCCATTCACCTCCCAGAGCCCCAACACCGCCATCTGTTTTCAAAATTTTCGGCGCCCATTGAGTCTCATTGGATCAACGTGGCCTGCTCCCACAATCCCCATTGTAGCTTTTTAGTGCTCGTCCCCCACAATTTCGGCTCCCACCACGCATGGCAACGACGATAGTAGACCGCAGTATATATGATGGCTTTCTTGATAATCACATAACCACGACTTTTAAAAAAAATTTTGACCACGAACAAAGTTTTTACGTTCATGGGGGACAGCCAAGCTGCGAGTCTGGCGCATAAATAACATGAGCTGTTTAGGGTTGTGTCCTCCTTTACCCGAATGTGTGATTTTTTTGTTTGTTTAATTCAATTATTTTTTTACGTTCACCCATCCGTGTGCCGCTTATAATTCATACGCCGCGACCTCCTTTTTGCGCGTCGACCTTCCTTGCCCCCCCGTTCAGCCGAAAGCAAATCGGAGGAAAAACCGGCGGAAAATCCGGTGGAAATTCCGGTGGAAAAGCCGGCGGCGGAAAGTCCGGCGGCGGAAAAGCCGGCGGAAAAGAGCACGGATGCGCCCAAGGAGGGGACAGACACGGAGGCAGCTGCCCCGGAGAGGGAGGGTGACGGGAGCAAAGGTTAAGAGAACCGACACGATCCCCTTTAATCAACCTTTGACCTTTCTCTCCCTCCGCCTTTCTGTCTCTTGGGCTGGGGCAGGGCGGCAGTGGTCGCGTTGTTTGGGTGGTGGTTGTTCGTGGTGGGTTTGTGGGTGACGGTGATTTTTTGGAAGTTCAAAACTATGTGCGGTAGGCAAACCACAAAGCATACGATTCACGTTGGGTTTGTCAGTTGATTTTCGTTAGTTTTTTTTGGCAATCGTCGTTGACTTTTGCAATCGATAATCAAATCTAGTTGGATTTTCGTTGCGATTCAACCGATTTGGCACATGCGAACCTTCAAACCGCATGGCTCGCTCCAATGCGGTTGCATCGGAATCTTTACTTAGACTGGAAGAATCCAATGAGCTTTTTCATCGTAAGGCGTCATCAGTGGAGACTGGTACAAGCATGACATTAAACCACTACAAATACAATAACAATTGAGACAGAAAAAGGGTACTTGTTGAATTTAAAAAAGAATTGATTCTTCCATCGAATCCTAATTTGAATCATGGCACCACATCTCAAGTGCTTGTGTGGGTTGAGAATTGTTAGAAGCCTGACAGAAATGGGTGATATTGTTTTAACATTTCCTGCTCTTCACTTGTCTATAATTTTTTTTCCGTATATTAATATCATTGTCATGGTATTCATTCCTGCCTCTTCACAACAATCCTTGGGGATGGTTTTGTAGCGGTCGGAGCACTTCAATCGCAATCACAATGAGTTAAATTTTGGTCCGGTATGACTGATCCCATTATCAAATAATAATCGTCATCATCCACTGGCATCAATGTCATCATTTGTTCATGGCTCAATTAAATAAATAATGCTTTCCGGCAAATCAACAGTGGTTGTGCGATAAGTCGGCTGTGCACCGCGGGATCAATGTGGAATTTCCACCACTGGCTGAGGGGACGAGTGCTCTGACCATACAGCACCACCTGCTCATCGCACTAGCAACAATCCTGACGCCATGCTGAGGAAGGCTGCTTGACCCGCCGCTGAGCAGGACCGCCCCCCTCAACCCCTGATGTTCACCGCAATCCTCTGCTCTCCTTCAAGTAATGAAATTGTGAAGTTCTGACACAGCTCGCTCTCCTCCCCCCTCCCCTCCCCGTTGCCATTGTTGCTCCTCGCGGAATGTCGCGTGCAGACTCCACGGAGAAGCCGGTGCTGACGAAGGACGTGGAGGAGGTGGTGGTGGCGGCAGCGGCCGCGGCCGTAAAGCCCGCAGATAAATCTGACGAAAAGAAGGAGGAGAAGAAAGACGAGAGGCCCGAGAAGCCCAAGTTCATGTTCAACATCGCCGACGGTGGCTTCACAGGTGAGAGGGGGATGCTCGTTGTGGATTGCTCGGAGCACGGGGGAGGATGGATTGCAGTTGGGTGGGGGGGGGGGTCCTCGAAGGAGTGAACCGAGAGTAAGCGGGTGCTTCGCATGGGATAGCAGGGCCGAGAGAAAGGACTGGCAGGCTAGGTAGGACAAGCAAGAACTAAATCAGAATCGCAATATTTATCCTGGAGAAATCGATTAGCTATGAAGCTCTTTTTCACAGATGTCCAAGGGCTAAAGGCTAGCAAACACAAGTGCGGATATGCTGGTATTCGTGGGATGTAGAGGAGATGGAGTGAGGTGCCAGGCTTGACTCGGTGTTAAAGCCGACTGTGTGTACGCAAACCTCTGTTTGCGCGTGTGCTTTTGTACGTGGCTTTGAGTGGTTCATGCATGTGCATGCTTGCGTACGAAGCTGTGAAATGCGTTGTGCACCTATGCGTACATGCCCGTTTGTGTCCATGCCTGTGTTTATGCATACATCCCCACGTCGCCTCAATCTCCCCGTCTCTCCCTCCTGCAGAGCTGCACACACTGTGGCAGAACGAGGAGCGAGCCGCGACGACATCTAAGAAGATGAACGAGATCTGGCACCGGCGGCACGACTACTGGCTGCTCGCCGGCATCGTCACGTATCCTTGCGTCTGCCGAGCGTTGCCGTCCCATTCTTTCTCGTTTTTAAAGTAACACTACAAAAATATAATACGTGGCCGTGTAAAGACGCGTGTGTTGGAGAATGTGTGAATTGTAACAAGCATTTGTCCATATGTCCATTTGTTTTGTCTTGTCTGTTCATCTCAGTCGATCCATTGGTTTGTCAGTCTGTCTGCCGTCTGTCCGTTTAATCCAATTTGTCCCATATGTCCTCACTCTTACGTTTATGTAGCAAATGTTCTGGTTAATAATCGATTTTTGGGTTAGACCATGTAATGATCTGGACAAATTTGTGTCATTTTATGATCCTCCTGCCAACAGCCAAGCATTTTAAATGGTCACGCGCACAATCATTGAATGTGCCGGTTATTACTGTTCCAGTCGATCCTCTCGCAAACCAAATCTCTCTCTCTGGATCTCCTCGTTTATTAATTGGTCATTCTGTCCGCCGGCTTTGCTGTCGGTCAGAATTTTACGTATGTATGCCTGTCGGTCAGAATTTTACGTATGTACGCCTGTCGGTCCGTCCTTTATTGTTGAGCCTTGACCCCCCTTTGGGAATGGCAGGCATGGCTATGCACGCTGGCAGGACATTCAGAACGACGCTCACTACGCCGTCATCAACGAGCCCTTCAAGATGGAGATGAGCAAGGGCAACTTCCAGGAGATGAAGAACAAGTTCCTGGCACGCAGGTTCAAGGTGAGCAGGGTGTGGAGACCCGTGCGTAGCATTGTTTATGTTTGATATATTTACGACCTTGATACGCTATTGTTTATAGCAATACATCGTTATTGAGATTGTTATCGATTATATCGTTCAAATTTGGCTAGTTAACATTTATATTGATAAACATGATTTTTTTCTTGACTTAAAGCTTTCGTGACTGCAAGAATTAATGTTCTTTGGGTCTTTCGGTAAAGCCACGTCGATATAAAAATAATGAAAAATAAAGATATCACGACGTTTCGATCGCAACACAAGCAATTGTCATAAGGTGAATGACGATTGCTTGTGTTGCGATTGAAACGTGATATTTTTTTATTATTTTATTACTTTTCTATCTACGTGGTTTTACCGAAAGACCCCAAGAATGTGATTTTGTTCATCCGTGAAATTATTGTTTATATTTCAGCGTTCTTGCATAATTATAACCGGATTCTTTACTCCTACTTGACAAAACATGCGATTTTGTGAGGTTTGAAAAGTTTACAGGCTGTCCCCCAATTTCGGACTCGCTGTGGGAGGATGTTTAGTTTCGTTCAAGTTAATTTTGTTTAACCCAGGTGAGAACTCGGAGAACCACAAATAAGTCTCTTCGGCGAGAGTGACCTGGGTCACCAAAAATGAGGAAAGCAAAGCGAATTAAATGAAAAGTACAGCAAGGAAGCAAATGGAAATTGGAGCAGCAGCTTCACATCAGAAGTAAAAACCACTGCATCTTCCCGCACCGACCACCACCGGTCTCTAACATCCTTACCACCAACCCCCCCCCACCCCAGCTGCTGGAGCAGGCGCTGGTCATTGAGGAGCAGCTGCGCCGCGCCGCCTACCTCAACATGACGCAGGATCCCGGCCACCCAGCCATGGCTCTCAACGCTCGCTTCGCCGAGGTCGAGTGTCTGGCAGAGAGCCACCAACACCTCTCCAAGGAGAGTCTCTCCGGCAACAAGCCGGCCAACGCCGTGCTGCACAAGGGTATGCGCAGAGACGCACGGAGACAGCAGGGGGAGATGTTGAGAGATGCATAGAGACGCATGGGGGGATGGGGTGGGTGGGGATACATTAAGACAACGTAGGCGGTGGTGATGTGGGAAATCAAGCCAGCCCAGTGCAGTGCTGCGCAAGGGTACGCGAGGATACCGGGGAGGCCTTGAACGACACATGGAGAGAGATACGAGAGACATGGGGAGGCACAGGGAGATGATACGTTAAACATGGGGAAGGGGGGTGGGGTCATTGGGGATGAGGGGGATACAGGGAAACTAGTGCTACAGAAAGGGTATTGGACGCATGGGGAACATAGGGTGACCCGGGGCTATGGGGTGTGTGGCCATACAGTGGAAATGGGGAGAACCGTACGCAGAACTTCTGAGATATCGGAGCATGTTAGATATGGACCCGAGGGGGGACAGTGACGTGAAAAGGCGTGGGCAACAATGATGAAGCCATCCTCACAATGCACAAGGTGGCCCTTTTCGCCTCCTTTCTCTCCGCCTACCCAAACCATCGTTAGCATTGCCCCATTGCTCCTGCTCCCCATTTTTATTTCTTCCTGTGACCTTTCAACAGTATCGTTCCCCACGTTTCTTCACCTTCAGCTCCTGACATCTGAACATCCGACCCCGTGATGGTTTCACCCCATCCTACTTTTGACCACGGACTCCTCGTTAGTGCCGCCACCTCACATTCTCTCTCGCCCTTGCTCCCTCCCACGTGCCGCCACCACCACCGCCGCCGCCCCCCCCCCATTTCTCCTCCAATTCGACCTCTAACCTCTCCCCCCACGCGTCTGCCGCACCCTGTCCCCTCCCCCGCAGTGCTGAACCAGCTGGAGGAGCTACTGAGCGACATGAAGGCGGACGTCACGCGTCTGCCATCCACGCTGTCCCGCATCCCGCCGGTGGCGGCGCGCCTGCAGATGTCGGAGCGCAGTATCCTGTCCCGGCTCGCTAGCCGGGGCGGCGGCGGTGGCGGCGGCGGTGGCGGCGGCGGCGGCGGCGAAGCAACCGCCCCTCCCGGCGCCACACAGGTACAGCGCCACTACCACCCCCACACGTAGCCTTGCACAGATGTGCAGCTGGGTTAGGTCTGGTGATGGCCGGACAAGGCTCGAGCAAGACGAGAGCTGATTGCCTGAGCAATTAAGAATTGGCCGGCACTGGCCTGAATTGGATTAAAGCTGCACGGAATGAGGCAGACCTAGCTGTAATTGGAGCAAGGAGCTTTGTGGAATTGGCCAGAGTTGGTTACCTGGAGCGAGTCGAACAGAAGCAGGACACAGCCAGAGATAGTTGTGTAGCGTGCTAGACCATCGCCAGCCATCGCCAGCTATATATGGCAAGCAACAGCTATTCCATGATAAATAATGTTGAGTCTGTTTGTTTTGTAAACACACTGACTCCGATGGTAGAACAGGTGGCTTATAGTTTAGTAATAAAATAAGAACAATAAATATAAACACGCATGTTAGTTGGGCTATAAAAGAGTGTTTACGTTGCGTGGGGGTGAAGGCGTAGAAAGTTGGTTCCGTCTGTCACAGCTGAGGAACAGCTCACGATAGACAAGAGACAAAGACCCCCTATGTGTACTCTTTGGTTATTTCAGTTAAGTCACGACGACCGCTTGTGTTGCGATTGAAGCATCGTGATATATATATTTTTTCCTACGTGACTTTACCGAAAGAACCACAGAGTATGGATTCCTGCAGTCACGAAAGCTTCAAATCAAGACCCCCCCCATGTAGCCTTAACAGACTGTTGGGGCAAGTGCTATTACCTATAAAGGTCGGCACGGCATACGAGGGGGTGGGTGGCCAGAATCGCGTCCGGTCGCCTTTGCCTCCCATTGGCGATGTTTACACCGCACAAGTACTCATTTAAGGCTGAGTCGACCTAGGAGGGAGGCCCAGGACCGATTTAGATAATCGTCACTGGTGTTGGTCGTGAGTGGGAATTGAACTCGGGTCGCCGGATTCGTAGCGCAGCGAGCTATAACCACTCCCCACACACTAGACAATAGGTACGTAGACTAAACGTCTTCACGTATCTCTGTCTCCACATTATAATTAGATTGTTTTTTTACACAACTCATTCACCTTCTGGTCAGATTTAGTTTCCGCAGCATTGATTCACAACAAGAAACTTGAATCTGCTGCTGCCGAAACTATGCACTCCCCAAAAGACAGTGTAGCTGATGGGGTTGTAAATAGTTTCATTTGTCAATGAGACGTATGATTATTCATTTTGTTTTATATATATTCTCAACAACGACGCTAACTTGGAATGTGTGTAATCAGTTAATAATAGAACCAGTAAGCACATACAAGGTGTGAATGAGCTTTTACCCCCCATTGTTAATATTTTATTCGTTTTTTTTCTGTCGGTGCAGTGAATCTGCTTTTGGAAAACTGAGTGAACTGTATGACAACAGCTGTTTGCTCTTTGGCTTGCGTCTTCATTTTTCCGTGGATACGCTGACACTCGAATGTCTCTGTCTGTCTCGTGTAACGGCCAGCAGGCTGGGGGTGGAGGCACTGCAGGGGGAGGGGCAGTGGGGGGTGGTAACGGGACCCCCCCAGTGAGCCGGGCTCCCAGTGGCCTTCCTGGGGCCCAGGGTGGGGTCATCAACTTCAGCCAGATGCCAGCGGGGCCATACGCCACGGGTAGGGTTCACACCTCTGTTCACCTACTCAACTCGCCCACCCACCCTCTTGTCCACTTGTTCACTCATCCACCACCTACTTATCCACCCACGCACTCACTTAACCACCCATCCATCATCCACTCACCCATATATCCATTATCCACTCACCCATCCAACCATCATCCACTCACCCATCCATCATCCAATCACCCATCCATCATCCAATCACCCATCCATCATCCACTCACCCATCCATCATCCACTCACCCATCCATAATTCACTCTCCCATCCATCCATCATTCACTCACCCATCCATCCATCATCCACTCTCCCATCCATCATCCACTCTCCCATCCATCATCCACTCACCCATCCATCATCCACTCACCCATCCATCATCCACTCACCCATCCATCATCCACTCTCCTATCCATCATTCACTCTCCCATCCATCATTCACTCATCCATCCATCATCCACTCTCCCATCCATCCATCATCCAATCACCCACCCATCCATCATCCACTCACCCATCCATCCATCATCCACTCACCCATCCATCATCCACTCACCCATCCATAATTCACTCTCCCATCCATCCATCATTCACTCACCCATCCATCCATCATCCACTCTCCCATCCATCATCCACTCTCCCATCCATCATCCACTCTCCCATCCATCATTCACTCATCCATCCATCATCCACTCTCCCATCCATCCATCATCCAATCACCCACCCATCCATCATCCACTCACCCATCCATCCATCATCCACTCACCCATCCATCCATCATCCACTCACCCATCCATCATCCACTCACCCATCCATAATTCACTCTCCCATCCATCCATCATCCACTCTCCCATCCATCATCCACTCTCCCATCCATCATCCACTCTCCCATCCATCATCCACTCACCCATCCATCATCCACTCACCCATCCATCATCCACTCACCCATCCATCATCCACTCACCCATCCATCATTCACTCACCCATCCATCATCCACTCTCCCATCCATCATCCACTCTCCCATCCATCATTCACTCTCCCATCCATCATTCACTCATCCATCCATCATCCACTCTCCCATCCATCCATCATCCACTCTCCCATCCATCCATGATCCACTCTCCCATCTATCATCCACTCTCCCATCCATCCATCATCCACTCACCCATCCATCCATCATCCACTCTCCCATGCATCCATCATCCACTCTCCCATCCATCCATCATCCACTCTCCCATCCATCCATCCATCATCCACTCACCCAGCCACTCACCCATCCATCCATCATCCACTCATCCATCCATCATCCACGCACCCATCCATCCATCATCCAATCACTCACCCATCCATCATCCACTCTCCCATCCATCCATCATCCATTCTCCCATCCATCCATCATCCACTCAATTACAACCCAAGCTTATTATGACTGGAAGGGCATTTGAGATGCAACTATCTTTATAGGTGTATCACATGCAAGGCTGGTGTAGCCCAGCTTCTTGTCTGGAATATTTCATGTTCCCATCCGCCCTCCCAATCTTTTACCGTCTTTGCCTCTGTGCCCACAGCTGTGAACGGGATGTCCGGCACAGATAAGAAAGGGGGGGCTGTGGACAGCTCCTCGAAGGAGGGGGGGGTGAGCGGTGGCGCGGACAAGAAGGGGAACAACAGCGACGTCGTCATCTGTCTCGATTAATTCGCACTGAATGAAGCCGCGTGCAAGAAGAAGAAGAAACGGAGGAGAGCTAGCTACCTTCAGTTTTGTCGGAGGCTTGAGAAAGGCCAGCTTGTGATTCTCTCCTTGTGTTGTCTGTCTCCAACCTTCACACTTCACTTCTATACCCCCTTTTCCTCATTCTTATCTCCCTTCTCTAGCTCATCTCTCTTCGTCAGCGTTCTGTTTCTATCTTGCAGCTGCCAACTTTTTGTAATTCACTGGGAGTGTCCAATGTAAGTTTCCGTTTGTCCACCCAATTTTATTTGGGGTTCTTCTCGGAAGTTTGCAGCAGTGGCTGTTCACAACGGTCTTGAATACGACAATTACACTACGACGCCAATTCACAATCGTAATAAAGTGATTGCTTTTAAGAGCCCAAGGAAAACTCTTTTATTTATTAGGGTTCTGTCTTGATTTGTGATGCTCACTGAACCAGACTTAAGGTGCCCGCAAGATGTTTTTCGGGTTCACTATAAATTCCGAAATCTCCCAAGAACTAAAATCGTGTTGCTTCACTGTTAATCCCGGAGTTTCATGGACTCTATCCCAGTCCTCTTTCGGAATACGGTTCAGGGGTAATTCCTGAGGCTCTTATGGCTTTTGTATGCTGAACTCTTTTGCACCATACATAGTCAAACGTGGTAATCGGATGGTTCCGCATTGTTCATACCCGACTAGACTTGAGCAAACCTCGCAATTCTTAGGGCTTATTGCTCGTGGTCTGCACTTGCGTAAAATTTTCCCTTCACTTGCCTCCCCCCCCCCCGCCACCCCACACACATTTGTGGCAATCAAACCGGGGGAGATTTGCAGATCGTTACAAACTTTTTGTTGTCAAAAGTGGCGATTCTTTAAGTGACTTTTTGGGGAGTCCGGCAACTCTCAGGCTGCGTCTCGATATCTGTTTTTGGTCCTCGTTTTATTTTCTGCTGCTGCTGCTGCCGTTCTCTGCACTGCATTGTGGACTCCGTGCTGTTTTGCCGTTGCCTCTTGGATGTGGAGACAGGGTTTTGCAAGGGAGCCGCTCGTTTCGGCGATGGATTTAATTTTTACCAAAACATACTTTGTTGAGTATCCCCCCCATCATAAAAAATGACATCGATATCAGCATGGTATTGTCGTCTTGTACAAAATGTTATTACATTATTATTGTTATTTTTGTTAAGTTTATCACCCACCCAAACCATGAAGTGGCCTGATTGATGAATTTTCAGGAAGGCATTTTCCCCATGTTTTTATTTTTATTTCTGGCAAACAATAAACATGTGAGAAAGCCGACTGGGTTGTTTTGCGACCAAGTGTCAGTGGAAAACTGCCTTTCCACCAACAGGAATTGAGTCTGTTGAGCGTCCGTCGGTCTGCATCGATTTTGTTATTTCACCTTGCCGCGGCTTCTCACCCCCAGGCGCTGTGCGAAGCAGTGGATGGGGTGGGGGGGATGACGCTAAATGGGGGATGTTCTGCCAAGTCGCTCCCAATCCAGAGTTTGTCTCAAGTTTAAAACGGCTCGAGAAATCTCATTACGCACAACGTGTGTTTATTTAAAAAAAACAACTTTTTCCTGTAAAAAGAAATTCTACACGTGTCCAGCCCCCCCCCTCCTTTCCCCACCCCCCCCCCCCCGGTCAGGGCGTCGTGCAACGGCAATGCACGGCATGCGAAAATGATAGTGTACGCGATTTTTCTTAGTGAACGTTGAACAAGCGCGTCCCTTTTTACAACGACGTTTGGTGACGGACGGACGTTGGCGAGACATCTGGTGGAGCACGTGGATGCGTGTGTGTGTGTGCGCGGTGGGGGCGGGGGCGTCGCGCGTGTATTTGTCGCTACTTTTTCTTCACTAGGTCGTGCTCTTTTATCGGGTGCAGAATTGGAGGTCGTGCCGTGTGCCTGGGCCACGTGGAACCCTCCCTCCCTCGTGTGCGAATTTATCGGTACCAGGACTCAGGTGGACTGCCGTTAGGTCCCATTCCAAATGAAAACTACCGATACCACGTTTCTTTGTGCGTGAATATCGTCGTCGTGTTATTGTAATAACTGATAACAGCATCGGATTGAATTCGTACGTAGACCAAGCAAGTGGCTGTTTTCTTTGCTCGCCGAGTTCAGATTTTTCATTTGATGTATTTAGTTTGTGTTTTTTAGTGCTCGTCATCAACCTCGCCTGTTAAAGGAGACCTACAATTTGGAGTCTGTTTAAGAAATAGACGCAAGTCATGTTGCAGAAATGAACTCAAACGTAAGTTTAAAACTTCCCCCTCGGTGAAAATATTAAGCGAAATTCCCAATAGGTCTTTGCAAATACGGCAATATCATTGGGTTAAATGAATCGAATATATATTGGGGCTTCAATTCAATTTAAGGTCCCAGGTGTCGCCCCGTGTTCTCTGGAAGCTAAAGGTGGCAGCATCCTTGAACTTAACTCCAATAGAAACTCGTTTATAAAGTATTTGGCTGCTATAAATATCCGCATGATAAGCTACTGCATTGAGCTTTCGTGTGTGATAGGCCAGGCCACTTCATAAAAACATATAAAAAGCTACGTTGCTCAGTGGGGGGGGCAATACCTGGTTAAATTAAATGAAAGTTTAGTTTAAAACCACCTGCCTCGTTTGCAACTGCTGCTGTATCTGCGTGAAAATCTGCAGAATACATCGTAAAAGTTATCTCTGATCTTAAACAAGGTCAAAAAAATTGTGAAATTTACCAAAAGCCCTGTTTGCGTTGTTCCTCCATATGAAATATGACGGAAGTTTGAGCTACTGGAGGATACCCAACGCTTATAATAATGGCGAGGAGGTTAAACTAGCTTTGTGTGGCGGGGTTGGGGGGTGTTATTTGGCGAGTTGGTCAAGAATGGAAATGGATACTGGGGGGGCGGAGGGGTGAGACATGGTTGCTGGAAGTTATTAATAAAACCACAACACTGTATATATTGCTGAAACTTAGTAGCATCTCGTCGTAAAATCCCTAGAGAGACGTCGGATGTGTTGGGAGGATTGTACGAGGGATTTTAACCGCGTTGTCAACTTGGGATGGCCAAAATAAAATAAGTTTTTCAAAAGTAACCACCTGCGACGCATTTCAGTTTTTAGGTGGTCTGGATTTTTTTGAGGTGGGTCTGCTTCTCCAGGGTCGACTTGGTCCGTCTTTAGCATGCCTGTACGCGTGTTGAACTTATTCAGCACCCTACGTATCCAACCGTGCTGATTGAAGCATCATCCGTCGGGAAAAAATCATCTCAATCCGCTGCTGGATGGAGCCCGAGCCAAGCTGCCGCCATCCCTCCGTGGATCCGCGATGTTGCAATTTCATCGAGAACCTTCCTGCTCAGGGGGTCCATTTCGTCACTCCATCTCGAAGGTGGACGCCTCTTCCCTCATTTGGCTGCCAGTTATTCTCGTCGACAAGCAACGCGCACTGACTTACGATGGAATGTTAAACGTGGTTAACGTCAATTTAATATCAGCAGTAATTGACGCAATCATTAAAACGATCGTCATCCTTGGAAAACAAGAAATGAATAATTCATTCACCGTCCACAATAGTTTAATGCTATGTTACGTCGTACGAAATCTTTGACGTCTATATTCTGTCGGCAGAGGGCGGTGCAGCAATAGCCATGCGCACCAACGTCGATGCTTTGAACATCCACTGAGCAACGTGGTAAATGGGTCAAGAACCCACAATCCGTGCGGCGTGGGGGACCCTCATCCAGCAGTGGATTGACACAAGGGCTGTACGCGTTCACGAGAACCCAATGGGAGCAGCAGAGGAGGAAGCGACCCCCCCCCCCCTCCCATCACTGAACGAAGATTGACTTGGGGGGGGGGGGTCTTCGACAGAAAAGCTTTGTCTGCGAGGGCAGTGAGGACGTGGAGGGGAGTAGTGAGATGAGAGGGGAGAGGCAGGAGAGAACGTGGGGAGGGGGTAGAGTGAGATGAGAGGGGAGAGGAAGGAGAGCGTGGGGAAGGGGGTAGAGTGAGATGAGAGGGGAGAGGCAGGAGAGAGCGTGGGGAGGGGGGGTAGAGTGAGATGAGAGGGGAGAGACAGGAGAGGGCGAGTCCATGGGGGGAATATTTGGCAGCAGTGAATCTGGAATTTCTCATTCACGTAACTAATTGCCCGTGCGGTTTCTCACACTATTTGTCATTACGGGCGTTTTTGACTCCCTAATTGTCGAAATGACTCATTTGTTAACGCCTCGCCATTGCCTAAATCAACATCTCCGCAATGACGTCACAAAGCCTCGTCCTGACGTCATCTTGTCGGAACGTTCCCACTGCTCGCCATGACGTGACTGTTTAGCTATGACATCACGTGGCGCCCGTCATGCAGAACGTCTGTACGCCACTGTCTCGTAAAGTCATCGCGTTGTTACGTCATCGCGTTGTTACGTCATCACGTTTCCATCGTTTGGGCTGCACTCGGCTCCCTAGCGTCATATTAAAGGACTCGATTCCCCCTCGTGTCGTCCCGTTTGTATTGTGTGTCGGTGTTTAAGCCTCGCATCCTGCTCCGAACACTCCAGAAGCCTGAACGTTGCATGACAAAACCGTTACGTGAAGGCAACTCAACATGTGCTTCATGTTGTAATCGTGCGTCGTGACCACGCCCGGCCCTGCTGCACCTGAACCTTGAGGCATGGGGGAAAAAAACCCACGGCATGACGTCATGTAAAGGCCTTGTACGTCATGACGGCATCACGTGCAGTGCACGCGCTTTTAAGCCCCCCCCCCATGCGTCACGACGAACGCCCTTGCGTAAAGGCGTCACACCGCACCCTCGTTACACTTGTGTTGTGACGTCAACGGATTCCGTCCATTTCGTTGCGAACCGTGCGTCGTGACGTCGCCGCGTTCTCCGTCAACCCCCGTGCGTCGTGACGTCGCCGCGTTCTCCGTCAACCCCCGTGCGTCGTGACGTCGCCACGTTCTCCGTCAACCCCCGTGCGTCGTGACGTCGCCGTGTTCTCCGTAACCTCCCTCCGTGCGTACTGACGTCACCACGTTCTCCGTAAACCCCCGTGCGTCGTGACGTCGCCGCGTTCTCCGTCAACCCCCGTGCGTCGTGACGTCGCCGCGTTCTCCGTCAACCCCCGTGCGTCGTGACGTCGCCGCGTTCTCCGTCAACCCCCGTGCGTCATGACGTCGCCGCGTTCTCCCTTCCAGTGCGTCGTGACGTCTTCGCATTTTGCTCATTTGCGTCGTGACGTTCAACCGCTCAATGTCTCCCGCGCCACAACCCGCGCGCGATGACGTAATTTATTGTGACCCGCCCTTGCGTGACGTCACGACCCTCCCCAAGTTATATAAGTCAGAGCCTCCCACCCCCCCCCGTCCCCCCACGCGCCGGAGCGGAGGCCTTGGAAGTGGAGCTGGCGCTGAAACGTTACGAGCTCGGATTAAACAACAAAAAACCTTTACCCGTGTGTGTGTGTAACGAGCCACGCAGAATTTAGCTTTGCACCTATAAAGGGTGACTTGCGAAGGGGGTAAAACTCGCGGGAAGTGAGCGGAGGAGAACAAACGCGAGAGTGTGAAGAGTATACACGCCTGAGATGGGAGACGGTTAGAGGTGATGAGATAGGGCGAGGTGAGGAGAAACAACGAGAGAAACAGAGTTGTGGGAGAGGAGTGAAAGAAGAGACGTTGTTGTGCGGAGGAGGAGGAGGAGAAGGAGGGAGGAGGAGGAATACGCGGAGAGAAACGGAGGAGTCTGTGAAGAAGAGTCGAAGAGACCGGGCGAGGAGACGCGCGCACCCGCTCCGGGACTGTAACCTTCACCACTCAAGTGTGCGGCTGAGCCGCGGTCCCCTGAGCCCGGTGAGTGACGGGGGGTCGGTGGGCACAAACTCACGCCGTGATCGATCCACCGCTGGATGAACAAGGCCCGGCTCTGCCGTCTCCCGTCACGTTCGACCCCGTCTACGTGAACCCCAACTTAACCTCCCCCAACCCCCTTTTAGCCGGACCCACGGTCAAACGCGGACCCCTTCATTTACCTCAACTACAACTTTACGGGGACCCCTACGATTATTTAAAAAAAAACTCGTTACGGCTGTTGACGATGTTGTATGGTGTGTATAGGCTTAGATGCGAAAACTCTGTGCATTTTACTGGCTGTGTTTCACATTGTCACATAGTCACTTTAGGATGTTCTTCTCGTTCGTGGTGTTTTTTGTTTGTTTGTTGTGGTTGCACCCGATTCAAGAGCCGGATGGCTCACAGGGCTATACCAAACTGAACTGATGTATGCACCTAGCCTGGCACGCATCATTTGACGATGCTGCTGCGTTGGCAGGAGGTGCACGATTAATGAAATAACGCGACACGTTCGCCAATCCCAATGTGGCCTTGAAAGGGGAACACACAGGCGACGTTTTGGGCATTGACCCTTTGCAATACATGGCGTCGTTGTTGGGCTTGTGTGTAGTGTGTGTAACGTGGTGTGCTCCGTGTAAGATATTTGAAAGGCTTGGGGGGCGCAGTTCCATTGGTGAGCGGCAGTACGCAAGGCGACATTGGCTGGGTCACGTAGCTCGCTGTTCGGCCGGATCGAGGGGGCGAAACGGGCGCGGCACGGGCTGGAGAAGAGATGGAGTGATGTGGTACAGGAGGACGTGGAGCTGATGTGGTACACTATAGTATGTAGCTGATATGGTACACAGTAGTATGGAGCTGATATGGTACACAGTAGTATGGAGCTGATGGGGTACACTATAGTATGGAGCTGATGTGGTACACAGTAGCATGGAGCTGATGGTGTACACGGTAGTATGGGAGCTGATGGGGTACACAGTAGCATGGAGCTGATGAGGTACACAGTAGCATGGAGCTGATGAGGTACACAGTAGTATGGAGCTGATGTGGTACACAGTAGTATGGAGCTGATGGGGTACACAGTAGCATGGAGCTGATGGTGTACACAGTAGTATGGAGCTGATGGGGTACACAGTAGCATGGATCTGATGTGGTACACAGTAGTATGGAGCTGATGTGGCACACTATAGTATGGAGCTGATGGGGTACACAGTAGCATGGAGCTGATGTGGTACACAGTAGTATTGAGCTGATGTGGTACACTATAGTATGGAGCTGATGGGGTACACAGTAGCATGGAGCTGATGTGGTACACAGTAGCATGGAGCTGATGTGGTACACAGTAGTATGGAGCTGATGGGGTACACAGTAGTATGGAGCTGATGGTGTACACAGTAGTATGGAGTTGATGTGGTACACAGTAGCATGGAGCTGATGGTCTACACAGTAGCATGGAGCTGATGGGGTACACAGCAGTATGGAGCTGATGTGGTACACAGTAGCATGGAGCTGATGTGGTACACAGTAGTATGGAGCTGATGGGGTACACAGTAGTATGGAGCTGATGTGGTACACAGTAGCATGGAGCTGATGGTGTACACAGTAGTATGGAGCTGATGTGGTACACAGTAGTATGGAGCTGATGGTGTACACAGTAGTATGGAGCTGATGCTGTACACAGTAGTATGGAGCTGATGGGGTACACAGTAGCATGGAGCTGATGTGGTACACAGTAGCATGGAGCTGATGTGGTACACAGTAGCATGGAGCTGATGTGGTACACAGTAGTATGGAGCTGATGGGGTACACAGTAGTATGGAGTTGATGTGGTACACAGTAGCATGGAGCTGATGGTGTACACAGTAGTATGGAGCTGATGGGGTACACAGTAGTATGGAGCTGATGGTGTACACAGTAGTATGGAGCTGATGCTGTACACAGTAGTATGGAGCTGATGGGGTACACAGTAGTATGGAGCTGATGGTGTACACAGTAGTATGGAGCTGATGCTGTACACAGTAGTATGGAGCTGATGGGGTACACAGTAGCATGGAGCTGATGTGGTACACAGTAGCATGGAGCTGATGTGGTACACAGTAGCATGGAGCTGATGTGGTACACAGTAGTATGGAGCTGATGGGGTACACAGTAGTATGGAGTTGATGTGGTACACAGTAGCATGGAGCTGATGGTGTACACAGTAGTATGGAGCTGATGGGGTACACAGTAGCATGGAGCTGATGGTGTACACAGTAGTATGGAGCTTATGTGGTACACAGTAGCATGGAGCTGATGTGGTACACAGTAGCATGGAGCTGATGTGGTACACAGTAGAATGGAGCTGATGTGGTACACAGTAGTATGGAGCTGAGTGGACCGGTAGTGCCGGTGTCAAGTTCGGCCCTCCGTGGAAGAGGCTCGCGAAGGACGCTGCTGGTGCTGGCCTCCAGCAACAGCGGAGGGCGGAGGAGCGACGCTCACAACAACGAGCGAAGCGCCGGGCGTCCAAAACGCAGCGAGTTGGCACAGTGGGCGGAACACGGGCGATGCATCTTGCCAGTCATCTCGGTCAACCCAAGGCACATTGGGGCCTTGTTCCGTGCCCTCCTGCCAGCGAGCCCTCGACACTTGACGTGGCGTACGATGTGCACCGAGCCTGGCACAAGCGCTGCGGTGACGTCACCGCCACTTCTGTTGTGCGTACAGTACGAGCAACGCGCAGTGCACACCGCAGATTTGTGCGGCCTGGAGTGCGGAAGCGCATTGAGGACGCAACTGTACACACAAACATCAACGACAATCTGGATAAAGATCCCCCGTGTATAGCCTATAGCACAGTGTACACACAGCCTATAGCACAGTGTACACACAGCCTATAGCACAGTGTACACACAGCCTATAGCACAGTGTACACACAGCCTATAGCACAGTGTACACACAGCCTATAGCACTGCGTTACACACAGCCTATAGCACAGTGTTACACACACAGCCTATAGCACAGTGTTACACACACAGCCTATAGCACAGTGTACACACACAGCCTATAGCACTGTGTTACACACACAGCCTATAGCACAGTGTACACACACAGCCTATAGCACTGTGTACACACACAGCCTATAGCACAGTGTACACACAGCATATAGCACTGTGTACACACACAGCCTATAGCACAGTGTACACACACAGCCCATAGCACAGTGTACACACACTGCCTATAGCACTGTTACACACAGCCTATAGCTCTGTTACACACACAGCCTATAGCACTGTGTACACACACAGCCTATAGCACAGTGTTACACAGCCTATAGCACAATGTACACACAGCCTATAGCACAGTGTACACACACAGCCTATAGCACAGTGTTACACACAGCCTATAGCACAGTGTTACACACACAGCCTATAGCACAGTGTTACAAACAGCCTATAGCACTGTGTACACACACAGCCTTTAGCACAGTGTTACACACACAGCCTATAGCACAGTGTACACACACAGCCTATAGCACAGTGTACACACACAGCCTATAGCACTGTGTTACACACACAGCCTATAGCACAGTGTACACACACAGCCTATAGCACTGTGTACACACACAGCCTATAGCACAGTGTACACACACAGCCTATAGCACAGTGTACACACACAGCCTATAGCACAGTGTACACACACAGCCTATAGCACTGTGTTACACACACAGCCTATAGCACAGTGTACACACACAGCCTATAGCACTGTGTTACACACACAGCCTATAGCACAGTGTACACACACAGCCTATAGCACAGTGTACATACAGCATATAGCACTGTGTACACACACAGCCTATAGCACAGTGTACACACACAGCCCATAGCACAGTGTACACACACAGCCTATAGCACTGTGTTACACACACAGCCTATAGCACAGTGTACACACACAGCCTATAGCACTGTGTACACACACAGCCTATAGCACAGTGTACAAACACAGCCTATAGCACAGTGTACACACACAGCCTATAGCACAGTGTACACACACAGCCTATAGCACTGTGTTACACACAGCCTATAGCACAGTGTACACACACAGCCTATAGCACTGTGTTACACACACAGCCTATAGCACAGTGTACACACACAGCCTATAGCACAGTGTACACACAGCATATAGCACTGTGTACACACACAGCCTATAGCACAGTGTACACACACAGCCCATAGCACAGTGTACACACACTGCCTATAGCACTGTGTTACACACAGCCTATAGCTCTGTTACACACACAGCCTATAGCACTGTGTACACACACAGCCTATAGCACAGTGTACACACAGCCTATAGCACAGTGTACACACAGCCTATAGCACAGTGTACACACACAGGCTATAGCACTGTGTTACACACAGCCTATAGCACAGTGTACACACACACAGCCTATAGCACAGTGTACACACACACAGCCTATAGCACAGTGTACACACACAGCCTATAGCACTGTGTTACACACACAGCCTATAGCACAGTGTACACACACAGCCTATAGCACTGTGTTACACACACAGCCTATAGCACAGGGTACACACACAACCTATAGCACTGTGTTACACACACAGCATATAGCACTGTGTACACACACAGCCTATAGCACAGTGTACACACACAGCCCATAGCACAGTGTACACACACAGCCTATAGCACAGTGTACACACACAGCCTATAGCACAGTGTACACACACAGCCTATAGCACAGTGTACACACACAGCCTATAGCACAGTGTACACACACAGCCTATAGCACAGTGTACACACACAGCCTATAGCACAGTGTTACGCACACACAGCCTATAGCACAGTGTTACACACAGCCTATAGCACAGTGTTACACACAGCCTATAGCACAGTGTTACAGCCTATAGCACTGTGTTACAGCCTGTAGCACAGTGTTACACACACAGCCTATAGCACAGTGTACACACACTGCCTATAGCACTGTGTTACACACACACAGT